AGTAGCGGGATGACTTGCAAATCTCTGCGTCATTCTATAAAAGCATCCAATAAGACATGAGAGGATATTAGGTTTCTGGTGTGCATTCGAAGGTGAGAAACGGTTATATTGCATGGGAACATCAGCACTACAGCAAAGTCGTTTCACCATTTCTTAAACACTGAAAACCAGATCGAGGCTGCTTTTAAAGAATAAAATCACAGAGTGATGTTAATTACTTCACTATTACATTTACAAAGTCAGTCTAGGTGGACATCACCTATTCTTTGTGATTTATCGTTAGACCATGGTTAGGCCATGGTAAATGGTATGATACAAGGAATGCTGCTGATTAGAGACAACACTAATTTATCAAAATCGATTCTGGATGAAACAGTGATCACCGTAATCAGAGTGCTTTTACGAATATAGTCAAACGGGGATTTGACTTCTTCATGATGGCAGGAACAACGATAGATTGGAAGGGTTCAAAACAAAACCTGGGTAATATTACTGAGTTTTCGGTGATAGCGTTCCACCATCGTGCTATCGTCGCATCGATCCTGATCGCATTGACACCGATTGGTCTGTTTGGTAATGCCCTCGTCATCGTCGCCGTCATCGTCGCCAAGAAACTTCGTACAATCACCAATATTTTGGTCATCAACCTTGCTGTTACCGATCTTGTAACATGTCTTTGCTTCCCGTTCCTGAGCGCGGGCCTCTTAAGTCAAACAGGAAGCTATCCCATGCATGAAATCATTTTGTGCAACTACCGGAGGAGTCGTAAATACCTGTCTATGCTGTAGCAGTTTGACCCTACTCACCATAGCTTTCGTCCGTTGGTATGTCATTACGAGATCTGTCCGTGGCCATAAGGGTATTCATACTCCAAAGAAAGTCGTTGCTTTAGTAGTGCTCATCTGGACAGGATCGGTCGCGAGTATAATCCTACCACTTGTTCTAAGGATTATGACATTGGGATATTCCAAGTCCCCTCAATTGTGCACCCTTATAGCCACAAATTTGCGTGGAAGTTATTACTTCGCATTCATGGGAATTCATGTAGCCATTGTCTTGATGCTTACCCTGATATTTTATCTTCTGATTTTGCGTCATGTTTTACGACACCGCAAGCAGATCCGCAACAAGTTCCCAATTGCTGAAGACACCAGAGCTGGCGCCACATTGAGCCACGAGAGCCAGGCTTCATCGAAGTCTCCAGGGTCCCGTCCACCCAGGATGAAAGCCATCAACAAAATGGAAGTCGAAATCACAAAGAATCTCTTCGTGGTTGCTGGTGTGCTCGTGACCTGTATCCTACCACAAAGCATGTTTCTTATGATACCCGGTGGCGATGCATTAAGGATCTATAGCTCTTTGATCATGCTGGCAAATAGCGTTGCCAATCCAATCGTCTATGGATTCAAGCATCCCATCTTCAAAGAGGTCTTCAAGAGCCTCCTTTGGCCCTCACGTGTCGCTTGATCACGTCTCGGACCCAAAAAGCTGCTTCGGTGAAGTTGTCATGAATAGTTTACATGGTATCCTTTACGATGATTGGATACAGCCCAATTGAATAACGGCATGCGAGACCGACAGACCAAGTGTCCACGAGACCGGCAATTGGTGTCACGCATAAACCGACATGACGGTCTTGCGAAACTTGCAAAAATAATTCGTACATTTACGAGACGGACAATGTCAGTTTCGCAGGTGGTCGTCCTGGTATAGAACATGAAGTTAACACAAATTACATATTTCAGAATTTAAATCAGTTATAAGTCAAAACTTAAACAGAAGAGCTGTATCAACAATACACACGTACTTAGTCTTGTTTTTTACATTTTGAAATAAATCAAACAATGATTTATAGATAAAACAATATTACTCTTTAAATGACACATATTCAGTTCTTGAAGTACAAAAAAATGGGGGAAAAACAAAAGGAGAAACGCAAAAACAAACTTTTCCACCCCACATGCATAAAGTCACGCAAAAAGTCAAACAATCACACAACACTCTCATACACGCCATTCCCATTACCCTTACAGCCGCCCCTCCCCTCCGGCGTCCCAATCTAGTCTCTAAATATGTGAGAGAAGGTAGTAGTAGAGTAATGATAATATATATTAATAATGGTAATAATACCGTTTAGTTTAATTAATGTGCCATTGTTCTCTGTATATTTATCCCATTTTTGGAAATGAAATATTTAAGTGCAATGTTCTGCTAATTTTCTTTCCTCATCTTCACCATTGTTTATTTTATTTCATTCGCATATAAAAAGCACAAAAAAATGTACATATAAACATTAACAAGTTTGATTCTAATAAACAAATAAAAGTTACATTGAAATGGTGAATTACCTGTGAATTATATTGGAAAATGAAAAGAGAGGCATTGTGGAGTCAAGTCCCTCAACGACAAAATTGTAATAGTTTGCAGAAATATTTACAGTTTTACTTTTAACATTGGTTTCAAACATTTGTTCATGAGTTTCTCTTCTCAAAAGAAGTCTACTTTTGTTTCTCGAAAATTGTAATACCATGTATTAGAACTAAATGACTTACTAGTTGTTCAGTTCCTACTTGGATTATTGTAATGCCAATATAAATTCTTTCCAATTTAGTGTTTGTAGTAATAGCCATTAACAACATTTCCACAAGTTTTCCACAAATACTTAATTTTTTTCATAATCATACAAAAATATGTTCCTAAATTATGGTTCCCCATTATTTTAACAAAATGAGCATAGACCATCCTTTATTAATCCAAACCTGAGTTAATATATTTAGTGTAGACAATATTATCTTACATCTAGTACTGAAATTTTTGCAGTTTGTAATCCAAAAGTCTGTAAGTTTGAGCCACCTGATCATAATAACAAAGGAGATTATTCCTTCTAATGTTTTCTCTATCATCCCATATGAAATTAAAAATGAAATCTTCTTAATCCTTTCACCCCATTCAGGTCCTGATATGAAGCAATGAAATATTATTCAATTTTGAAAGGAAAAAAAATTCACCCAATAAAATGTCACAAATAACGATATGTCTTTTTGCTTCTACCAACATTTTTTCCTTAATTTTACTAAGATTTTCTTTATATTTTTTTTTCTTTCTTTAACCTTGGGATCTTATGCAATAAATATCTCTTGCTTTTCAGGAAATTACAGTACCTTCTATGTATGTTAATTATGCATTCAATATATTTGTTTGATTCGTTTATTATCTGTATAAAATTATATACACTAAAAAATATTGTATCAAACCATATTATGTTCATGAAAATGTATGATGAATAAAAAGAAAAAAGATGCAGAAATCAATAAATCCAATCAAACTTATTCAAATCAAAAGAGATTTTTTGAGTTATTTGTTTAGGGTCCTAGCAACATTACATCCTTTTTTTTTTTTTTTTTTTTTTTTGTTTACTGTTGAACCTGATACAACAGACAACCTGTCAAATCGTTGATTTACTGCTTTAATTAATTAAACATCTTGAAGAAATAACGTAACACCATCGGGATTATTATGATACAGTTCGATTGACCGATCAATTTTGCGCATTGCATTGTCAATTCAACCATCTATGGAATCCAGTACCCCCATCTTTTAAGAGGTCTTCAAAATCTTTCTTTGGCCGCCCTGTACAGCTTGGTCACGTCTCAACCTAAAGTGCTGCTTCAGTGAAAATGTGCTAAATCGTTTACAAGATATATCCTTTAGGGTGGTTGGATACAGCTCAATTGACCGACGGTATGCGAGACCGACAGACCAAGTATCCGCGAGACCGTTAATCTGTTTCACTTATCTCCTGAAGACATTCGCTATCTGTCACGACCGATTATTGTATGTATTTACTACTCAGCTGACAGAAACATGCTCCAGTTAGCCCCACTCCCGAAATTTGATGTACTATAGGTGTTTTGCCATTGAAAGTTAAAAAATGTGTTTGTTGATATTACTTTTCTGTTTTTGTGTGCTTGTGTGCGTTTTGACATGATTCGATTTTGATAATAATTATGATAATAATAACAATAATAACAACAACATCAACAGTAACCACACAAGAACCACACAAAAAGTTAATATGTGGAAGTGTGGAAAACAACTCAAAATAAGTCAATCAAGGAACCTTGTTAGAGATAATGAAATATACTTGAATTGCTGCCAAGTCTATAAGCGTTGACTTTCCACATGTGCTCGTTCTTTTCTATCCTTTTCCTTCATTTCTGTTGAATCGTTCTTTTCTATCCTTTTCCTTTATTTATGTTGAAGCGTGGGTCGTGATTGCGAAAACGTATTACTCCCCTTTGATCGAGACGACATCGACGATAATTATGTTGCATTGTGAACATGATGGGTTTGCTTCTTTCATAATGTCATGTCAAATCAACTGACAATACAGTTAGGGTTATTAGTGGTTGCGGTCTATATTATTACCCAGAAAATGATTGTCAGTCATTTTATGGGAAAGGCGGTTCTTTGAATAGGGACGTCACTTTTATTAGGCATGTTCAAATCTTAAAACGTCATGTTATTGACATGTTCATATTACGTCCAGCCTTCGGTGGCAATTTTACCGTTTAACGTAAAGTAGCGAGATGACTTGCAAATCTCTGCGTCATTCTATAAAAGCATCCAATAAGACATGAGAGGATATAAGGTTTCTGGTGTGCATTAGAAGGCGAGAAACGGGGATATTGCATGGGAACATCAGCACTATAGCAAAGTCGTTTCTCAATGTCTTAAACACTGAAAACCAGATCGAGGCTGTTTTTAAAGAATATAATTGAGTACTTCACTATTGCATTTACAAAGTAAGTCTAGGTGGATATCACCAGTTTTTCTATTCTTTGTGTGATTTATCATTAGGCCATGGTGAATGGTATAATACAAGGAATGCTGCTGATTAATGACAACACTTTATAAAAATCGATTCTGGATGAAACAGTGATCACCTTAACAAGAGTGCTTTTACGAGTATATTCAAACGGGGATTTGACTTCTTCATGATGGCAGGAACAACGATAGATTGGAAGGGTTCAAAACAAAGCCTGGGTAATTTTACTGAGTTTTCGGGGATAGCGTTTCACCATCGTGCTATCGTCGCATCGATCCTGATCGCATTGACACCGATCGGTCTGTTTGGTAATGCCCTCGTTATCGTCGCCGTCGTCGTCGCAAAGAAACTTCGTACAATCACTAATATTTTGGTCATCAACCTTGCTGTCACCGATCTTGTAACGTGTCTCTGCTTCCCGTTCCTGAGCGCGGGCCTCTTAAATCAAACAGGAAGCTATCCTATGCATGATATGATTTGCGCATCTATTGCAGGAGTCATAAATACCTGTCTAGGGTGTAGCACTTTGACCCTGCTCGCCATAGCTTTCGTCCGTTGGTATGTCATTACGAGATCTGTCCGTGGCCATCAGGGTATCCATGCTCCAAAGAAAGTCGTTACTTTGGTAGTGCTCATCTGGATACAATCGGTCGCAAGTTTAATCCTACTACTTGTCCTAGGCATCGGGACATTGGAGTATTCTACGTTCAATCGTTTGTGTGACTTTAAAGGCACAAACTTGATTGGCATGTATTTAATCGTACTCATAGGAATTGCTATGGCCATTGTCTTGATGTTTACCCTGGTATTTTATCTTCTGATTTTGCGTCATGTTTTACGACACCGCAAGCAGATCCGCAACAAGTTCCCAACTGCTGAAGACATCAGAGCTGGCGCCACATTGAACCACGAGACCCATGCTTCGTCGACGTCTCCAGAGTCCCGTCCAACCAAGATCAAAGCCATCAACAAAATGGAAGTCGAAGTCACTCAGAATCTCTTCGTGGTTGCTGGTGTGCTCGTGATCTGTATCCTACCACAAAGCATAATTTTTATGATACCCGGTGACGATGCATTAAGGATCTATAGCTCCATGATCATGCTGGCAAATAGCGTTGTCAATCCAATCGTCTATGGATTCAAGCATCCCATCTTCAAAGAGGTCTTCAAGAGCCTCCTTTGGCCGTCCCGTATCACTTGATAACGTCTCAACATGAAGCGCTGCTTCGGTGTAGATGTGCTGAATCGTTTACAGGATATCGTTTAGGATCGTCGGATACAGCTCAATTGACCGACAGTATGCGAGACCGACATAAAAAGTATCCATTGGACGGGCGATCGGTGTCATGTATCACCTTTCACAAAAACGACGGCACATTAAACAGACATGAAGTTCTCGCGAAAATTTCAAAAATAATTCGTACGTTTACGAGACCGACAATGTCAGTCTCGCTCTCGCAGGCTGTTGTCCTGGTAAATTTAGTTATCATTATAAAACAAAAACTGCAATAATGAGGGGTAATGAGTTGCAGTGATTTAAGTCATATTTGAGTGACAGACTCCGAGCAATGAAAATAGTTTGCGCATGTCATCGCTTACCCAAATTACAATTTGGGTACCACAGGGCTCAGTATTAGGACCACTGGTGTCTTTTATATACATAAACCTTACCCAAGACATAAATTTGCTTATTCTGAGAGATTTATTATATTCTAGCCAATTAGTCTGCAGGAAACCCTACCAAATTATTTGAGAGAGGCATATACCAAGAAATATATTTTTAAAAAAAATCAGCACGACAATGGCATCGCCATTTTTTTTTATAACGTGACGTATTATGTGAAGTAGTTTATCAAGTTGTATTCGACCTTATGGATACTATTCCTTCCCAGGTGTGTTTGGAGAATTGCCAAAAACGCAAATTGTATGAATGAGTTGGTGCTCTTCTGGGTTGAAAATTTCTCATAAATGGAATACTTTGATTCCCACATCCGAAATGTTTACTACCCTAAGATGGATTGACATGAAAAAAAGATGGGAGTTCAATAAAAGTAAATTAATGTATGATGTTATGAATAATAGTGCCCCATCATATTTATATGATATGTTCACCCTGTCCGCCCATACTCATAGATACTCAACAAGGAATGCTGACAATTTGGGCGTCAGTATTCCAAGAATTAAAACAGAATGTGGAAAACGTGCCTTCTCAGTTGATGGTGCTCTTCAGTGGAATAGCCTACCCCACTCAGTTCGAAATGCCCCGACCAAGAATATTTTTTGTTCTCTCTATTTTAAGCAGCGATGTTAAAGATAAATTTGCCTTTCTTTACTTATTTCTTTCATGAATATTTACATAAATTTCTCAATATAATAATTTGTTCAAATCTAAACAGATCATTGATAATAATCAGAGTATATTGTTATCGATTTAAAATTGCTCATTGAAATTTATCATTCTTACTACGGCTTTGTTTCATTATTCACTCTTATTCTTTACTCTTTTTTTCTATTATATGTTACTATGTATTGATGTTTCCGTGATGTTTATATTGTTTAAGTAGTTTGTTTCTTCATACATGTATGTGTTGCATTTGTGTACAGGGCCCCCTGGAAAACAGTACTGCGATTACTGACGGGGCCACCCTGTTTAAATAAAACGAAATAAATAAATGAATAAATAAGACTTGTCAACTGCTATATTTAAGTATTTCAAAGTGAATTAGAGACATCGTTCCCGTTTTATATATTTTTCACCGAATTTAATTTCTATCTTCTCAGCTAAGATTTTTACTCACTGAAAAGTAAAGGATTCGTTATTGATTAAAAAAGTCTTTTGAACTAAAGTTTGGTGCATGACAGATGTACGACCTCAACTGGTACGTCACATTTTCAAGAAAATGGCTTCGCTCATGTCATGCTAAACTGCATCAAAGCATAATAAGAATATCTTTATTAGGTGATTTTTCATTACTATTATTCTTTCATAATATTTCAGGATATCTCAAGACCGGATAAAGCCATTGTCATGAAACTTGCCATGAAGACAAATCCTAGTCCAACTTAGAACTGCGTGACTTTTCAGCGACGCAACGGCACACAGTGGGCCAGGGAGGGACCAAAGTGCGCCAAAACTATTTTTGGGTGATTTATTTTTTTCAATTTTTTTCTTGCCCAGTTGAAAGGTAATACATAGAGGAATGTTTAATTCCGGTATGCACAATAAGGGTATAAATTTACTACTTCAAACAGCAAAATCCTACATATTCACAGTTTTAGTGCAAAAGTGACTTATTTTATAAATCTTCCAAATTCAACATGAAGTTTTTAAGTTATTGATATGAAATTGCTCTCACATATTCCTGATAGTTCATTTCGTTGAATGAATGGGTTAAAATTAATAGAAACACAATCTTCATGATATATTATAGGGTAATTCACTGACAAATGGACTAATTATCCATGTTTTTTATAAATCCAGAAGAAATGTTTAGATCTCCGCGGTGTACCGCTTAAATTTTAATACCACCATTTCCTGTGATGTCTAAGCTTCAAGTTGATACCAAATTTAGCTGCCCGATGTTGCCCGTTGTTATGTTAGAGCCGATTTCCCTTGCCACATTGCCCCGAAAATGTGGGTTTTTGGGGTCCGCGGATGAATCGTGAAGGATTCGTGGTCATAAATCACGGCGCGAGGGGGCGCGTGACACTTGTTTTGACACCGCGGACCAAAATAAACACATTTTTCGGGGCAACGTTGCAAGGAAAACAGCTCTAACATAATAACGGGCAGAATCGGGCAGCCAAATCTGGTATCAACTTAAAGCTTAGATATCAGAGAAAATGTTGGTAATACAATTTAAGCGAAAATCCCTGGAAATCCAAACATTTCCTCTGGATTTATAATAAAGAAATCCCCAAACATGAGTTTTGGCGCACTTTGGTTCCTCCCTGGCCCACTGTGCGGCATCGTGACGTTATCATGACGTCATTATTTTAAATGCCATTAATGGTCGTATCTCAGCCATGCAATATCAATTTCTATTGAAATTTTGTATCAATCATGTTCAGGTCATGGGTCATAATCTTAGCCCACGCGCATGCGCCTGCCTCTCCAAACGGGGCGTACGCGTGCGTCCAAAAAAATGCTCGAAACCCCAATCCAAGTAATTTTCTATACGTTTAAAAAATGCGCGCGTTTTTAATTTCAGTCACTTTTTACATGCAACGATGAAATACGCGCATGTCAAAGATAAAAACATGCCTATGTTTAGTTAGCCATAAATTCTTTAAATGCACGGATACCCACAATTCATTTTGAATATGCAGATAGAGTATGAGTTGTTGATATGATTTGATACATGTTTTTGGCTTATCGCATTTTAAGACGTCATCACATTCCACGTTTAAGTTAAACAATTGCATTATAATCGATTTTAATCAATTTTGTAATCGACGACAATGCATCTTCAACCATATCTCATTTATCTCTTTTCTAATTTATCCCTAATGTTAATATGTTGTAGCTAAAGTTATGCTTTAAATCAGATGTGACATTTATTTTTCATTTGGATGACGGCACCATGACGAAATATTGGGTCCAGTATGACGAGTCCAAATCAAACTTCAAATTTTACGTGCACTTGTGATGGTAAAATTGCTATATTTGCGAGATTGTTGTTTCCCCTTGTGATACGAGCTAAAATGATGGCGGTATAATTTTTAAACGTCCCGTAGAAATGAGCCCTCTTGTGTTGTGATGGACATGTGTTGAAATGGGTGTCATGGCATATTGAACCAAGTGTACAGGCGCCCATTGAAGCGTACACAAATTGGTTCAAGAAAAATTAGAAAAACCAATCAAAACAAGTTTGAGCAAAATCGGGTAACTAATAAGAAAGTAATGAATTTTTGAAAAAATATGTAAACCAATAGAACAATGGAAATCATTACACAAATTCTCAAGTTTCATTCATTACAGTTTGAGACGTCATGTCCTTACTAAATATAGTTCAAAATATGTGCTCTTACCCCCCCCCCCCCCCCCCCCCCCCCCCGCTTATTCAGCGGCTGGCTGAGTCGTTGCGAAATTTTTCGGCGCGATTTTCAGATTTTAACCCCCCCCCCCCCCTCGAAAAAAAATCCTGCGTACGCCCCTGGCCCATGTTATATGATTTGTAACATATTGCATCATGACATCGCAACGCAATTCCCATTCAGAATGCATTTCAATTCAACATAATTATTGGGGAAGCAACAAAAATATCAAAGTCTAAAACCGCCTACAACAAACCCATTGCTTACGTCCTATCTCTAATCATTGTACTGTACATTGTAGAGCTTTGTCATTCGCCATTCGTCATTGCCAACATAAACATTAAACTATCAGTAACGAGAAGAACTGTACCGGATTTTGTTTTGAGTGAAGGCATTACTGATGTAAAAGAATGAGTGCAATTACTTACGTGTCTCGAGAAGAGTGCGACATGTATCTATTAAGAAATAAAGACGATCATGGACTTTAAATCGTTCACCGATAATCATTCACCGTTGAACCTCAGAATGTTTGCACTGCCACTAACCGTTATAAAAAATTGCTTTGACCCTTGATCTCTATCAAGATAAGTTTACGATGATCCCGTTAATTTGGGATAAACATCCATGTAAGTTCATCCGTTCATTTTCATATCGAATATATTGCATGTCGCTAACTCTTGTTCGTGGCTGATTCGATTTGCATTCACGCTATTTTATTGGGTTTATGTATATTTGGCAATGAGCCTTAAGTCACATGACTTCCCTTGTGATTGAAAATTAAATAATCATTGGCAGTTATAAAGGCCCAATATTAAAGCCCCACTGTCCTACTTGTAGCTACTTGCTCCCTCTATATAGAAAACAATACCTAATCGGTGACCATTGGTCCCCCATGATCCTCTTTTTCTTATGTTAATTGAGATCTGAGTTGATGAGATAGCCACCTGTCATTGGCCACGCTATGTGGTCTAATCCCCCTTGGCAAAACGAGTACAGCCGGTCTTTAAGGACCGCGCAGCGATAAAGGGCGGGGTGACTCTCCTCTTTTTTCTTTTTTTTATAGTTTTGTTTGTTTAAATATCAGTCGAGTATTTTATCCTGCCACCTACCACTAACAGCTGGGTGTAAGGTCTACGTTTGTTTTCAGATAATATATGCTTTAGATTATCTTCAAGTTCAACGACTAGAGTATATCCATATATCACAGGCGTGATGCTTGTCACGTTGTCATCGTTGGAGGTTTATTCTTTGAGCAGCAGTGGAGTAGATATACGTTTGAGAGAAATCATCATTTTGATGCCAAATGATGCCTCAAGAAAATTGGAATGCTCAAAATGACACTGTCATTTGAATTGGATTAAATAAAGCACCTTTTGATTTGAAGACAACAATATATGCTTTTACTTTACATGCAGACCATTTTACTAAAACGGCGACGATTGGTCAATAGTGGAAATTTGATGTGTTGTTATTGTTGATGTTGTTGTTGTAATATGCAGCCATACCTCATTGGAAAAAAACGTCTCGGCAGCACTAACTTTATCTTTCTTTCAAGCAGTCGTGGCTTTCCTTTCCAACCCTCCAATCCGCCCCTATTGCTCTTAATACGAATCTCTACTCCTCTCTCCCTCTCTCTCTCTTTTTCTCTCTCCCCCTCTCTCTTTCTCTCTCTCTCTCTCTCTTTCTTTTTCTCTCTCTCTCTCTCTTTCTCTCTCTCTCTCTCTCTCTCTCTCTCCTCTCTCTCCCTGCATCTCTCTTTCTCCCTCTCCCTCTCCCTCTCTCTCTCTCTCTCTCTCTTTACTGTTTCTTCAAAGTATGTAAACCTATAGAACAATGGAAATCATTACACACATTCTTAAGCTGGTTATCAATTTGAGACGTCATGTCCTTATAGTTATCAATTATGTGCTCTTATCCCCCCCCCCCCCTGCTTATTCAGCGGCTGGCTAAGTCGTTGCGAAATTTTTCGGCGCGATTTTCAGATTTTAACTCCCCCCCCCCCGAAAAAATCTTGCGTACGCCCCTGGCCCATGTGTTATATGATTTGTAACATATTGCATGCATGACATCGCACAAAATCTTTTATGAACTTTGAAGAATTGATACTTTTTTCTGAATATTGTATATTCATAATTATTGAGTTTTATCTAAATCGTTTATCGAAATCCTTTTTTTTCTTGATTTAACTGAAGAAAAAAACAACCTATATAATAGTGCATCCACACAAAAACATGTTACTATCAATCTAACTTGGATGCTGGTGTGAAGAAATAAGATTCTTAGGGTGAAAATAGGAAATTTATATTATCAATATAAAAAACACAATTATGACGTCACAGACTCATGAGTGAGTTTCCAATTTTTCTTGAGATTTTCATTGTTCCATAGTTTTACATACTTTTTAAAAAATTCATATCTTTCTTATTAGTTATCCGATTTTGAAAGAGAGAAAGAGAGAGAGAGGGGGGTGAGGGTGAAAGAAAGAGATAGCAAAAATCGATCAGAGCACCGTCATTTGGTGAATATGAAGCTTAAAATGATATAGTCCCGTGCAGCTCTGCTAAGCTTTGAAAACGCAATTCCCACTCAGAATGCATTTCAATTCAACATATTGGAGAAGTAACAAACAAAAAACGAACTCTAAAGCCGCCGACAACAAACCCATTGCTTACGTCCTATCTCTAATCATTGTACTGTACATTGTAGAGCTTTGTCATTCGCCATTCGTCATTGCCAACATAAACATTAAACATTAAAGTGAAGGCATTACTATCTTATGATGTAAAAAAAAAGAATGAATGCAGTTACTTACGTGTCTTGGGAAGAGTGCGACATGTATCCATTAAGAAATAAAGACGATCATGGACTTTAAATCGTTCACCGATAATCATTCACCGTTGAACCTCAGTATGTTTGCACTAACCGTTATAATAAATTGCTTTGACCCCTGATCATCATCAAGATAAGTTTATTGTGATCCCGTTAATTTGGAATAAACATGCATGTAACTTCATCCGTTCATTATTTTTCATATCGAATATATTGCCTGTCGTTAACTTATGTTCGTGGCTGATTCGATTTGCATTCACGCTATTTTATTGGGTTTATGTATATTTGGCAATGAGCCTTTAGTCACATAACTTCCCTCGTGATTGGAAATAAAATAATCATTGGCAGTTATATGGCCCAATATTAAAGCCCCACTGTCCTACTTGTAGCTACTTGCTCCCTCTATATAGAAAACAATACCCCATGATCCTCTTTTTCTTATGATAATGAGATAACCACCTGTCATTGAACACGCTGTGTGGTCTAATCCCCCTTGGCAAAACGAGTACAGCCGGCCTTTAAGGACCACGCAGTGATAAAGGGCGGGTGACTCTCCTCTTTTTTTTCTTTTTTTTAATAATTTTGTTTGTTTAAATATCAGTCGAATATTTTATCCTGCCACCTACCACTAACAGCTGGGTGTAAGGTCTACGTTTGTTTTCAGATAATATATGCTTTAGATTATCTTCAAGTTCAACGACTAGAGTATATCCATATATCACAGGCATGATGCTTGTCACGTTGTCATCGTTGGAGGTTTATGCTTTGACCAGCAGTGGAGTAGATTTTGGTACTTGTGGGATATCATTTTATAAGAATACAATTTTCACCATAAAATAGCTTATGAAAGAAATAATCATTTTGATGCCAAATGATGCCTCAAGAAAATTGGATTGCTCATTGGATTAAATAAAGCACCTTTTGATTTGAAGACAACAATATATGCTTTTACTTTACATGCAGACCATTTTACTAAAACGGCGACGATTGGTCAATAGTGGAAATTTGATGTGTTGTTATTGTTGATGTTGTTGTTGTAATATGCAGCCATACCTCATTGGAAAAAAACGTCTCGGCAGCACTAACTTTATCTTTCTTTCAAGCAGTCGTGGCTTTCCTTTCCAACCCTCCACTCCGCCCCTATTGCTCTTAATACGAATCTCTACTCCCCTCTCCCTCTCTCTCTCTCTCTCTCTCTCTCTCTCTTTAACTCTCCCCTCTCTCTTTCTTTCTCCCCCTCTCTTTCTTTCTCCCTCTCTTTCTTTCTCTCTCTTTCTTTTTCTCTCTCTGTCTTTCTCTCTCTCTTTCTTTCTCTCTCTCTTTCTCTCTCTCTCTCTCTCTCTCTTCTCTCTCTCTTCTCTCTCTCCATCTCTCTCTCTCTCTCCCTCTCCCTCTCCCTCTCTCTCTCTCTCTCTCTCTATTCACTGTTTCTTGCTTACCCCTAACCATAGGTCCATGTCCTAACTATTCCTCCTGCCACTTACATGATTTAGACTTAGGACTCAATTGTGCTAATTTTCTATAGATTGATTTTAATCAATTTGATCATTTGCATTCATATACAATATAATTGATTTACATATATCAGAGTTTGTCTAAAAAGAACTAGCATTAAGTATAGAATCGATGATTATAGTAATCACCATGCAATGGAAACTAATGTACCGAATCGAGTGTCAAAATGTGAATCTATAGGATGTACTTAACTCGAACATTGCATTGAATGAATTTAATACCCTTTATCATTTTAGACCATGCGCATATCCATGGTAATATTACGTATATAAGAAAGTTTGTTTCATACTCGAATTGTTTTTTAAGTTGAGTCGTGGTGGTTGTGACGTCGCAATTACGTTACAAAAGGAATGCAGATAATTATGTACAGTAATTAATGGCTCTTGACATCCTACCAGGTCCTCATTTAATCTCCTGGGTACAGAGAGTGACAAGACATCAAGAAATCCGCGGATCATATAACACCAATAACAAATGAATTACATGGGAAATGGGAAATGTAGAAAACAAGGGCAATTGATACTTGATTCGGTTGCAGAATTTACTGTAGACAGATCTCTAGAAAGTAATTAAATATACAAACAGGTACTGAGAAAAAGAGAGTGAGAGAGAGAGAGGGGGGGGGTATGGAATAGAGTTTAGACTACGTAAATTTACAGTGTTCACAAAAACCCTTTTCCAACGATCACTAAGGCAATTTCTTTAATATCTGGGCCCTATTTTCTTTTAGTTGCTCAGTCAAGGCATTCTGTTGCATCTAATCGTCTTCGGCACCATCTCATGATGACGCTTCTCAGAGGAGGCCAAAGCCCATGGTCTTGATGTTCTGGAACTCGTGTAGCCCGTACTTGGAACTTTCCACACCCAGACCAGACTCCTTGACACCTCCAAATGGGGCGGCGTTATTGAAGAAGAAAGTGTCGTTGATGCCAACCTGACCGACTTCCATCTCCTCGGCGACGCGCCAGATCTGACTCATGTCGTTGGAATAGAAGTAACCCGCTAGTCCCATACGGGTGTTATTGGCGATGGTGATCGCCTCCTCTTCGGTCTTGAACCTGGGTACAAACAGGGGGGGGGGAGAGAGAGAGAGAAAACAAGAGAGAGAGAGAGAGAGAGAGAGAGAGAGCGGGAGAGATTATATTATGCATCCAATAATGTATATACAACTTTGATCTCTATGATAGTAGCTACTGAATGAAAATTGAGCAAAATTTAATGAAGAGAATTGTAATATATAAACACAATAATTTCAACCAATCTAAAACTTAAAAGAGCAGAATGAAAATGTAGCATCCTTTCTTCTCTCAGAGGCGCACTACCATACCATACTCATGAGCAAGTCAATTACATTGGTTTAACGTACTAGATAGGATACACATTTAATCCTTTCATTCCTGGGAAGGGAGGGGGCAATTTACTACGCCCAACTACCCAAATGCATCCAATAAACTTTAACTGATATGTATTTTCCTTTCTTTCTTGAATTACTTGAGGGTCGTATGCTGCTATAGAATTTCCACACAACTGCGCCAGGAGTGTCGTTTTTGACAGACATGGCGTATTATAAATATTGACTATTATTAGTAGTATTAATAATAACCAACCATCATTCTTCTCAATTCTTTGATACGTACTTGACTATGGAAGCCAAGGGACCAAAAGTCTCTTCTGTACATGGTAGTGCAGTTGTGGGCACATCGCAGATGACGGTTGGCTCAAAGAAGTTCCCTCCTAGTTTCGACCGGTTACCTCCCGTCAGGATACGAGCGCCTTGCTTCACCGCGTCCTGGACATGTCTTTCCACCTACAAATAATTGTATCTGTTTGATCACGTAATCTATGTCTGAGGGTAATTCAAGTGAATGATTGTGCTTGACATATATTTTTCATTTCCATTCTTTTAACCAGTAAAGTATAACGTTTTTTCCATTATATTAGGTATGGATGTCTACATGTGGATATCATTCACACCCTCGCCTATTTTGGAATAAAACATCTATACTACAACCACCACTATAAGTAGTACGTCTGCTTTTTTCTACTTCTTCTTCCACGAGTAGGCATTTAAATTATATACTCCGTGATTTCACCGCCTACTTCCAGACCGAATATATTCTTTAATGGCTACTTTTGTCACATGGACATGTTGTAGTCTCTGAGAACTTTGAACTACATGTGTTTTTATTATTTTGCTATCTTTAATGTTGAACTGTCGCACTGCTATAGTTTACCTTCTCCACACCTCGTTGGTTGATGAGGGGTCCCATCGACGTCTTTGGGTCCATCCCATTACCGACCACCATACCTGATACATGCTGTTTCATCTTCTCACAGAACTTATCGTAGATGCCTTCTTGCACCAAGATGCGATTTGCACTGACACACACCTGTAGTGATTACATCATTATTATGATTGTCAAGAGGTAGAGGTAGAGGTAGAAGGAGTTAAAATATACTATCGTTTCATTTCATGTATTTATTTCATCACGGTAGCTTGTTCCATTCTCTACAACTGCTTTCCCTGAGATTCCGTGGCTTGAAATAAGAAATCATCATTATAGTAACAATAATATTGCCTTTGATACCATTCAAATGCTCAATAACATTTGAATAGAGAAAATCTTAACGTGGTAGTCGTATAACATTGTTATCAGCATATATTCCTAATTATAAAAAAAACGTACGTTACTATAATGCCTGTTGCATAAAGTGCCTCACTTTGTTTAACGTACGACTGGCGAGATCTTTGCCGCTCCATACACAAAATGTATCCGGGTAAAGTGGGACCAAATGTCCTAGTTCACTACTAGAGGAAAAATAATGCCCTAATGTAGCAAATAAGTCAACAATGTTAGCGATCATTGTACTGTCTCAAAGACCATCAGGGTCATGTTATCGCTGGAACATTAATGCCGAGCAAATAAAACTTTAGCAAGCTAAGCAAGAAGATGTCACGTCTACTGACTAAACTGGCTGCGATGTGTGAAGCGCGTGAATATGAGATAATAATTATTGTCTTGTATTGTATTGGAATGTTTTGAAGGCTGATCGACGCAGTTTAATGGTAAAAGTCAACTGTATCAAAGAAACTTAGACCGAGTGCTAAGCTTTCTCTTAGTTTAACGCGATTTGGACCTAGCGTCGGCGCAGTTTGAACGAAATACTACTGGAACATTTCCTCAAACTGTCTACATGTAATTTATATTTAAAACAAAAAATATACATATACAGTTATTTGGTTCTAGGTCAGTTACCATCCTTGACAAACATCTCCGGAACAAAAGTCTTTGTTTAGTCACCTAGGAGTATTTGTCCTTCGGGTGCATGCGTGTTAGTTCAGGAGTATAGAGGTTAGGATGCGCCCATTTTGTAGCGAATGGACACACCGCTTCCATTTAGTTTTCAAATAATTGTATCGAAATGACTAATTGCAAACTAACAAGTTAGTGGAACTTTTCCATTAAGAAAACAAATAAAAACAAAAAATTAAAATCAACTATCAGAATGAGCATTCTTCAATTGGCATTTTCTTCAATACTACATTGAAAATGACTGACGTCGGCATGCCTGCGGCTTGTGACAGTTTAAGAACACTGCCCCTAAAACTTCTTTTTGCATGATCCCATCGACCCCTTCATATATAGAAATGTACCTTTGTCCGGGGGTGGGGTGGGGCCGGGAGGGAGGTGGTCGGTTCATCGTCATTAGCTATGGACGTTCGTGCTTACCTGGCCCGCGCCGTAGAACCTGAGAAAGAAGGCCCCCATGACTGCAGCCTCGAGATTTGCTGAATCGAAGACGATGAGAGGAGAATTTCCTCCTAGCTCCAGGGAGACCTTCTTGACGGTGCTAGCAGCCTGACTCAACAGAATCTGAAAAATAAAAGCAGAATTGTAAATATAGCCTGCAAACAATAAGGGGAATTCAGTTCTAATCCAATTTTTCTTACGGTTTGCGAATTATTCGAAAACTTATAAACAAATTGTTCACTGACGTTACTCCTCCGGAGAGTGAAATGCTTTTTATGTCGTGCTTAAATTACAGATAGAATTAACTACACAGTGGAGCTACAATAGTGGGAAAATGTCATATCTAAGCCTGGTCATTCCGAGAACATCCTTGTAGACGGATATCTCACGGGAATCTAGAATGTGGGTTTCGTAAACCTTCGGAAAGGTCGTCAGAAAACCTGCGAGACGGACAAGTTAGTCTCTTGGTTTTAGCCGACGAGTACAAAAAATAAACATAAACTTGAAATAAATTGATAATAGAATCGTTAAGCAACTTTATCATCAAAATAATGACGTGGTCTTGTAGGCTGTCAGCCTCGTGATTTTAGCCGAGTAATCCAAGTTAAACATAATACTTCATGGATGATAATAATAAATCGGTCAATGACTTAACCTTTCCTACGGCTGTAGAACCAGTGAAGGATATCTTGGATACCAGCAGGCTCTCGCACATGACCTTGCCCACAGCTGGAGCGTTAGGTCGGGAACAGGGTACGACGTTGAAGACACCGTCTGGGACACCCGCTTTCTTAGCCATCTACGGAGCAAAAGTAAATAATTAAATGCTATGAAAGGACAGGAGGTCCATTTATTAGATTAGAGAAGAAAGATAACAGTATTGTACAACATCTTCATCCATGAACTCTTATGATTTTCTGCCTAGCATGTTAAGCTGCAAGCCTCACTTCATGGCCACACCGCCGCATCGACTCCAAACTGACTCCATAGCGACCGATTCTTAGCCATTGTGTTGTACTGTAACATCTTGTTTAGTGTGACGTTAGTTCGGTACCCGTCACATCGGTGTGACTGAGGTATTATGTTCTCATCCTATTATTGCGAAAAATCTATTATTGATAGATTATTTAGTGGAAAAATAATGCAAAGTTATGCCAGGAGAAGGGAGGCATTTTTAACGTAACGAATCATTCTTATGTCAGTTGCACATGAGACGTCATTTCGATTATCTATTTGTGTACGATGTCCCTCTAACGCAGCACGTCAAAAACCACGCCAGTTACTGACGTATATCTACGTCAGCAGCAAAATGACGCCTCGAACGCAATGGACATTATTCAATGCTGAATCCTACTTACGTCACAGAGAGCTAAAGCAGACAATGGAGTGTCTTCTGACGGTTTGATCACCATGGTACACCCAACTGCCAAAGCCGCTCCAGCTTTCCTGGTTATCATCTCCAATGGGAAGTTCCACTGAAACAGAATGGGGAGTTAAATTAACTTTTGCGAAGATGTATTCTTGTTGTACTTTAGTTTTTAAAGAAATAATTATGATGACAAGTAGGACAATTAGGAATGACTGGTTGTCTTTCGAGCAGATCTATGAGGACAGTCAGTTTCATGAACATATGATAAAATAGAACGACATCGAGAGCTTTTTTCATGAACCCCATTCGTTTCGAAGGAATACTCTCTCGCTCTCTCTCTCTCTCTCACTCTCTCTCTCTCTCTCTCTCTCTCTCTCTCCTTTTCGGTGTCTAAACTGCTTTACCACCATTGCATTAAGCTGTATATTCATGTTTTTTCTGTGTACATTGACTCACTACCCATCCATCCACGTTAAAACCACCCTCCAATGATCTGCACCCACACGCAATTTGTTAGAGAAGAATCTTTAACTTACAGGGGTAATAAGACCAGCCACGCCCACTGGTTGTCTGATAACCAGGACCCTCTTGCCCCTGGCATGGGGCACCAGGACGTCACCGGTAGTCCTTGTCGCCTCCTCGGCATAGTATCGGAGGCAACTTGCCGCACCCTGAGCTTCAACCTGGGCCTCGGCCATTTTCTTCCCCTACATTGACATGATTGATGAGACATACAATATGTAAATAGGAAGAATTATAATTGTTCGATTAATGTTAGGGAGGGTAGATGTTAAAAGTTAAAAGAAATGATTGTATTGTTATTATTATCATTATTATTATTATTATTCGGCAAAAACAAAGAAAATCAGTTAATACAAAGCAAGAGAACTTGTCATTTCCTGTAAACATTTCAGAAAATGTTCATAAAACCTTCATAAAAAATGATGATTGACATCATCCTCCCTCCAACCCCTCCTCCCTCTCCTCTCTCTCTCTCTCTCTCTCTCTCTCTCTCTCTCTCTCTCTCATTCTCTCAACTTACTGAATATGCATGAATTTCACTTTTTTTTTTCTCGAAGCAACAAATGTTTGCTCTATTTGTTGAACAATTTCTTTTGTAGTTCTAGGGTAAACGAAAATACCAGTCTATAGAAGGTGAGCGACCATAAATCACCAATGTAAGTAAATAGATATGTGATATAACGAAATACGAGAAAGAGAGAGAGAGAGAGAGAGAGAGAGAGAGATAAAGAGAGGACACGAAATAGAGAGACGTCATTGAATAGTCGACTTAAAAAAGATAGACAAAGACAGAGCTATACAAACATTTTCCGCAATGATGATCTTGGCCAGGTTTTCTACGTTTTCATCCATCAGTTGTGCAAAGCGGTTGAGGATTGCAGCTCTTTCCTTGAATAAAGACAATAATAAAAACGCTTCAAAAAAATTATCATAATTATTTCAAGAGAGTCGTTGGTGGCAGGCTTTCAATGAACCGTGACCTTCACCCCCTTTCATCCGCTTAGGCCTAAAAAAAGAGATGTTCTATTGCCCTTTGCGACCGACCCAAAAGTTTGTGTTCAGGAAAAATGTTGATGAATATTTTAGATAAGCATAGATAAAATGACCCGACTATAATTATCCCAGAAATGTATTCAGGAAAAATGTTGATGAATATTTGAGATAAGGAAAGATGGACAGAGATAAGGGCCACCTCATGTCCTATTGGCAAACCTGAAGTTATGTTGACTAAAGGAAAACATCAAACGGAAGATCAAGGAATCCTTTTTCTTCTTGTCTGGACTAATAATCTTCCCGACTTCAGAAATACGTATATAATGTATTGATGTCATGATAATGATGATAATAATAATGATAATGATAAGGATTATAATAATAATAACAACAATGAGGCCTAAGTATGCCAATGAGATAACACCAGCACTGATCAAGCTGAGACATTGATGAAATAATGATGATAATGATATTGATGATACTGAAAATGATACTGATTATAAAACACACATAATGCATGCTCAATGCGCATACAGGATATTGACAAAGGAACAGGAAATTCAGTCATAGTGCAGCGGCTTAGCAAGAAAATTGTGCACTTTTTGAGAAAAGCATGAAACTTCCAGCATAGTTTGCTTTCACCATAAGATTTATTTTCAGATGTGGAGGGAAGTCAGATTTGACCTCTGATGACCCTGAGAGGTCAAATCCAAAATGGCCGCTTGTCCGCATGGTCTAATGTACAAACACGCTTAACTTTTGAACCAAATACACCAGAGTAAACGTTTAAGGTGTCATTTCCAACTAACTTGGGGATGCCAATTCATTTGGTAATACTTTTGAGATCACCTGAACTCAGGGTTTTGCATTTAGGTCAAGGTCAAGGTCAAAATTGACTAAAAATAGCAAGTTTTGAAAAGTTACAAAAGGTTAAATCTCATTTATTTGTCATTTGTTCACAAATTTATTTAGGAATGGTTCACCTGCCGAGTCCTCCACCTTAATCCTTTTCAGTTAGTTTATTTCACAGTTTGATGTGACCTCTGATGACCCTGAGAGGTCAAATCCAAAATGGCAGCCAGTCCGCATGGTCTAATGTATAAACGTGAACTTGAACCAAATAATCTAGAAAAACGTTTAAGGTGTCATTTCCAACTAACTTGGGGATGCCAATTCATTACGTAATACTAAGATATCGCCAGAACAAAGAGCCCCCGTGAGAAGGCTCACGGGGGCTCTTTTATTACTGACGGGGGCTCTTTTTTTATACAAATATCCATTGAATTGGTACCTATGATACTCCTCAATTATTTGCTATTTTTTCATTATCATTTCAATCAGCATTTTCCCTCTTACAAATTTACAAGCTACATAGCTGTTACTGGCCTGTGTATATAATATATACGCATACAACACTGATCTTTATGATGTCTTTAACGTGACATATCTTCTTCTCCCCTTGCAAACGAAAAAGAAAACAAGGTCATTAAAAGGGATTAAGCGACAAATAATGATTGTGATTAAAATTGATGCGAATATTTGTTTGAATAAGCACTGCTATTCACCCGAATCTTCTTTGTAAAAACAACTTTTACAAATCTCAGCCATGCTTACTGAGTTGAGACGTTCCATTCAATTTGAAATACCCATTACATAATACACTTCTCCTAATCTCAAAGGCCCGAATTCACAAAGGAGGTTTGAGCTCAGACCAAGGTTTTCGTACGTCATATGACGCGTTTTACGCATTTTTTACAAACCTGGTTTGTAAAGAACAAAAGGAGGTTTGGCGAAACAAAAGGAGGTTTGAGCTCAAACCTTGGTCTGAGCTCAAACCTTGCTTTGTGAATTCGGGCCAAAGTGATCTTACAGCACAGTGGCAGAATTGCATGGCTGAGATTTGTAAAAGTCGTTTTTACAAAGAAGATTCTGGTGAAAAGCATTGCTTATTCAAAAAAATCCTTGCATCAATTTGAATCACAATGATTATTTGTCGCATGGTCCTTTTATTAAATAACCTTGTTTTCTGTTTTGTTTGCAGAGGGAGAAGAAGCTATGTCACGTTAAGAAATCATAAAGATCAGTTGTATTATGCGTATATACATTATGATACCAGAACAAATGTTGATTATCAGAATGTCATTTTGGAATACCTCTATACAAATACCACATTGTCTTTAGCCCGTATCAGTATTAGTATGATCCAATATAAAGCTATTATTCTTTATTTAATTCAGTATAATGCTTTTCCTCAAAAATAGTTTTGCTATTTTTTTAGGGTTGAGACGCTAAGAAATGGTTTCAAATGTACATTACACGAAACCTGAACCATTGCAAAATGATGGTGGTTCTCTCTCTCTCTCTCTCTCTCTCTCTCTTTATTTTAATCATCCATTATCAACTACATATAAAGCAGCAACCAAAAACTTAGGATTATCTGAGATAGGTGAAAGTAAGAGTTAAAAAGAAAGTCATGCTAAAATGGCGCTTCACTTCCCCCCGCCCCCTGAAAAAAATAAAATAGATTAGTAGTCCTCCTCTCCAGCACCCCCCTCCCCCCTTTAATATCACATTTTCACTTGGCAGCACAAGAGGGCCGGGGTGGGAGGAGGGGGTTAAACCCCCTAACCCCCCCCCCCCCCCCGTAGATCTGCCCATGTTACCATATCATTCCACGACATTTTGGTCTTCCTCTTCTCCTCAAAAGGGACTTTTAGATTTGCGTGGACGTGGACTTGGACGTGTTACGTCCTTAAGGCACTGGCAGTCACATTTATGTGACGTCCTTTTAAGCACTGACCGTGCCTTAAAAGGAGGTCACACGTTGCAGTCCACGTTCTCATCGTGCAAATCTAAAAGTCCCTAATATTGATTTACTGGTCGAGGTTCATTATTTTGCTGACAACGAAAAACTTCTCCAGGCCATGACCATGTTTCTGCCCTTGCGCGATCGCCTCCAGCTCCAGCAGGCACGGCGCGGCAGCGTGCACACGCACCGCTACTAAAGGCGCAGTAGGCCTATAACCACTGCTGACGGCGGCACTGCACTGCGAGCCGAATCGGTAATAATAGGCCTACTCATAAAACGAGAAATCTTGCACGCTAATCTTAGTTCCATTTCATTGGTTTAAGGTTTGAAAATTGAAACTCAATATTGTGTTAAAGTTATAACAGAAAAGATAATCTTTATTTTATAATTTCACCGGGGCGATTTTTAATTTTGCAATCGCCCCCGTGAGCAACCTGACGGGGGCGATTATGTAGCTCACGGGGGCGAATCGCCCACCGCCCCCGTGTATTTTGAGCGCTGCTAGCTGCCCACTGACCATGCTATATGCAAATGGTCAGTTACAAGACAAATAATGGTTTGGTGCTATAATTAGTGAAATAAACTAACTGATTACGATGGAGACTATGCAGGGGAACCACTCCTAAAGAAATTTGAGAACATAAGGGGACAAAAAAATGGGAAAACTTTTTGTAAACATTCAAAACTTTTACCTTGACTTAATGCAAAAGCCCTGAGTTCTGGTGTACTAAAAAGTATTACCAATTGAATTGGCATCCCAAAGTTAGTGGGAAATGACACCTTAAACGTTTTGCTGGACTATTTGGTTCAAGAGTTAAGCGTGTTTGTACAATTATTAGACCATGCTGCGGACTGGCGCCATTTCTTATTTGACCTCTTAGGGTCATCAGAGGTATAAATCGAAATGTGAAATAAACTAACTGAAAGGGATTAAGGTGGGTGACTATGCAGGGGAACCACTCCTAAAGAAATTTGAGAACATAAGGGGACAAAAAAATGGGAAAACATTTTGTAACTATTCAAAACTTGCTATGTTTTAATCAATTTTGACCTTGACCTTGACCTAAATGCAAAGCCCTGAGTTCTGGCGATCTCAAAATTATTACCAAAATGAATTGGCATCCCCAGGTTAGTTGAAAATGACACCTTAAACGCTTTTCTGGACTATTTGGTTCATGAGTTAAGCGTGTTAGACCATGCGGCGGACTGGCGGCCATTTTTTATTTGACCTCTCAGGGTCATCAGAGGTCAAATCAAAATGTGACATAAACTCACTGAAAGGGATTAAGGTGCGTAAATTCCTAAAGAAATTTGAGAACATAGGAGAGAACAAATGACAAATAAATGGGAAAACTTTTTGTAACCATTCAAAACTTGCTATTTTTTAGTCAATTTTGACCATGACCTTGACCTAAATGCAAAACCCTAATTTCAAGCGATCTCAAAAGTATTACCAAATGAATTGGCATCCCCAAGTTAGTTTGAAATGACACCTTAAATGTTTTTCTGGACTATTTGGTTCAAAAGTTAAGTGTGTTTGTACATTAGACCATGAGGAATAGCGGCCATTTTGGATTTGACCTCTCAGGGTCATCAGAGGTCAAATCTGACTTCCCTCCACATCTGAAAATAAATCTTATGGTCTAAACTAACTATGCTAGAAGTTTCATGCTTTTCTCAAAAAGTGCACAATTTTCATTATATTGGGAGCTTATCCGCTGTACTATCAATTCTTTTTCCAATTTCGAAATTAAACTAGGTATAACATCCTTCTGAGTAATAAGAATTGCGACACCCCCCCCCCCCCCCATCCTGGAGATGGGTCGGCGCCCCTGCTTTCAAAGATATCAGAATATTAAGTAATTCTAAGCACATATGAGAAAAACTATACACGTTGGTCATAATTGCATACAGCACAATTAAACGTTGATATTGACTCTGTATTGATGTATTTACTTAGGCCTTGTTTGCACGATGAAATTTTCATACGTTGACAGTGACATTGCATATTAGACATACTTGACCATTCGTTGATATTGACTCTGTATTGCTGCATTTACTTAGGCCGTATTTGCACAAGAAATATTCATAAGTTAACAGTGACATTGCATTTTAGACATACTTGACCATTCGTGGGAGAAGTAAATATTGTTTTAACGATATAACGGCGTACAAAAGTAGCAGGCTCTTGAATCCGTCATTCAAACCTTCAGACATTGAAATAACGGTCTACTAAACTTTCTTTTAACGTTCTTGCAAAATTTTGACGTTGAGATAATGGCATACAATGTTGAAAAGAAATGTTACTTCAACGTTTAAACGTTGAGACAACGGCCTACGGCGACGAAATGAAGCCTCAGGCCTATTACCTAGCTTGCTCTAAGGTCGACTCTAGACTTTTAGAAACGAGCCTTCAACTATTAAATTAAAGCAACGTATGCTGAAATTCATAACTGGCTTATCATCGAGTATTTCACATTTAATTTGTAATAATGAAAATTTGAGGGGGAAAGCATTTTTTTGATACCGTTGCGGTGGTCTTCTTCCATGTCTTGAAGGCTGTATGAGCGACGTCGATGGCACGGTCAGTGTCCGCAGCACCACTGTCCGTCACGTTAGCTATCAATTCACCTGTTGCAGGGTTGGTCACTGCAAAGGTCGCTCCTGACTTGGCAGGTACCCATGCACCTCCAATGTAAGATTTGTCACGGATAAGAGGATTTGCAGGTGCCATTTTGGATGGTGATCTGGAGAGGGGAAGAGGAGGAGGAGGAGAAGGAAGAGGGAGAGAGGAAGAGAGGCGGGCGGGAAGGGATGCAGACAGAGAAAATGAAATAAAGAAAGAAACAAATGATGGAAGAAAAAGAAAAAGAGATGGATAGATAGGTAGAGGAAAAGCAAGGAGAAAGAGAGGGAAAGTGAGAAAAAAAATTAAAAAGCTAATTCAAATGATGTGTGTTTGCGTGGAACATGACTTCACAATGTTTTAGGCCTAAGTAACAAAACAAAACAGTGCAATTTTTTTGTTAGATTGCTTTTAATTGATAAATAACAGCAAGGTGACAAGTGTTAATTGCTGTTATGCACGAAGTATAATGAAATATGAAGAAACGAAAAACCAAACTAAAACCCTCACCAGCTAGGCTGGGTTTCGAATAATATCATACACTCTAGTAGTAGTTTTTGACAAAATAGGTCAAGTAAAATGTCAGGAAAACGGCCCTGGTTATATCGATCTCTGTAGTTTGTTTCCTGATCCTTGTCATATCTTTATAGAGGTCACACTGTCTTTCAGTATTATCCTTCTATAACTTACACGCTTAACTCAAAGTCCCCCCCCCCCCACTCAGTGTTATTTACGGTACGCGCATGCATGTTCCCTCCCTCTGAAAGCACCCCCCCCCCCCCTCTAGCTTTCTCCGGTGTGCGGGTGGAGGGGGTGGGAGCGATAGTTGCCCTAATCTAATTACGGATATCTGTAAAATTTGTGGATAGCTTAAATATTCGGCAGTTGATATTCTGTTACTAAAATTGTCAATCCTTTTTAGTTTGTCAGCACACTTGTCCCCTCCCCCGGGAAAAATGATATAGACACGTTACATTTCGCAATTAAATATGGATATGGGAAGAAAAAAAGAAAACATCTAGGCCAATTAGCCACAAAGACGTATGGTCCTGCGAGTCGGGGAGCCCAAGGATACCGCCCCAATCCCCATAACAAAAATGGAAATTGCAATATTCGAACAACCGTTATTCGGACCAGAGTTTATTAGCTCCGTTGTGAAATTGTACAAAAATAGCCTAAAAATCAGTTACCTCAAAATAGTCTTACTCTTAACCTTTAAAGTTAAAAATCAAATGCCAGCAATAAGTAACAATTAATTTTTAGACAAGATTATTTGCTGTACTGATTGCTGAAGAACAGCCATTGGCTGAAGTATGCCACCGTGCTAAAATAAAATAAACAAAGAAACAATACATGACTTGAATATAGTAAGCCAATGTTGTATCAAATTATTATAATTTTTAAAAATATTTTACGAGCATAATTAACTTACCAGGTTCTTACTGCTAGAATGATGCGTCTTGTCTGCGAGACTGTTCGGTGGAGAGTGACTGTGGGTGCTACGATGTACATGGAGTATATATTTTCGGGTCTGTATAAATGTTATCGCGTTCAATAACCGTGACGTCGCAAAAGTGAATCAATTTTCACGAAGTCATGCATTTGGCAGGAGATTGTGTTTCGATTTAATGTCAATATGGCACGTGACAATTACTGGTGGGTCGAGTCAATGGTGGTGATATGTCCTCTTTCACAATCAAACATATTTACCAAACGTCTTTTACGGCAAAGGGGCGGAGCGAGCAAGCCACGCGCTTACAAGGTCTCAGGAAAAACGTAAGATTAAAAGGAACCAAAGGTCATTAATTGTAGTTTTAAAATACACGAGACAGATACTGATAATTGTCTGTAAGACCACGCCATTAAGCTTTCCCTTACCACTTTTGAATGCAACCTGCTATCATAAATATTATAATTGCTGATTTCTGAAATCGGTACAGCACACTTTTCGTTTCTTTTCTTCCCCTCCCCCCTTTCTTATTACTTTACTTTGATTATGTATTCAACGAAGGACAGAAATATAATTACCAGACTTTGATACGCTGTTTAAAGTGCGGGTTCATAGAATATCACAAATATGGCAAACAGGGGCGTCGCTAGACCTTTTTCAGTGGGGGGGGGGGGGGTGTAGAGGCCAACGATTACCGACAAAAGTAGCCACCAATTACCGACAACATTAAATTTCCAATATCTACAAAGTCAACCCTATAAACCTGGGGCCGAAGGCTAAATTGTTTTTCCTATGGACTATCTATAGTACTTGGATATGCGCAAAATGGTCATTTTCCTCGACGACATTAATATACGAATTATTTCTTAAATTTATTCAGCATCATAGCTATATATTTTAAGGCAGGAGCGGAGCTAGGATCTTATTTTAGGGAGGGGCGGTAGTGAGCAAGAGAATCACTTAAAAGCGCGCTCATAAGGGGGTGTGGGTGATGAGCCTCCCGCGCGAAGCGCGGAAGCTTAGACGTTTCCTTAAATTATTAGGAAAAGAAGACGATTAATTGTACCATTTTCGACTGGTAATCCTAGGCTGAATGAAGTTCCCCCCCCCCCCTCTCGCGCGAAGCGCGAAAGCTTCGACGTTTCATTAAATTATTATAAAAAAGAAGACGATTTGCTGTACCATTCTCGACTGTTTATCCTTTTCTGAATTCAGTATTCCCCCCGCGCAAAGCGCGGAAGCTTTGACGTTTCATTAAATTATGAGAAAAAGCAGAGGATTCGGTGTACTGTTCTCGACTCTTAATCCTAATCTGAATGAAGCTTCCCCCTCCAGCGCGAAGCGTGGAAGTTTTGGTTTTATTAAATTATTAGAGAAAGAACACGATTCGTTGTACCGTTTTCGACTTTTAATAAACCCTATTCATCTGAATTCAGTTTTCCCCTCTCGCGCGAAGCGCAAAAGCTTTTACGTTTCCTCATATCATTAGAGAAAGAACACGTTTCGTTGTACCGTTTTCGACTTTTAATAAACCCTATTAATTTTGTCTGAATTCAGTTTCCCCTCTCGCGCGAAGCGAGGAAGCTTTGACGTTTCCTTAAATTATTAGAGAAAGAACACGATTCGTTGTACCGTTTTCGACTCTAAATAAGCCCTATTAATTTTGTCTGAATTCAGTTTCCCCCTCTCGCGCGAAGCGCGGAAGCTTTGACGTTTCCTTAAATTATTAGAGAAAGAAGACGATTCGTCGTTCCGTTCTCGACTCGTCTAAATGAAGTTTCCCCTTCCGCGCTTCGCGCGAAATTTTTGGCGTTTCATCACAGTATAGAGAAAGGAAGACGATTCCTCGTACCGTTTTCGAATCTTATTAAGCCCTATTCAATTGAATTCAGTTTACCCCTCTCGCGCGAAGCGCGAAAGCTTTGATGTTTCCTCAAATTATTAGAGAAAGAACACGATTCGTTGTACCGTTTTCGACTCCAAATGAGCCCTATTAATTTTGTCTGAATTCAGTTTCCCCCTCTCGCGCTAAGCGCGAAAGCTTTGATGTTTCCTCAAATTATTAGTGAACGAACACGATTCGTTGTACCGTTTTCGACTCTAAATGAGGACTATTAATTTTGTCTGAATTCAGTTTCCCCTCTCGCGCGAAGCGCGGAAGCTTTGACGTTTCCTTAAATTATTAGAGAAAGAAGACGATTCGTCGTACTGTTCTCGACTCGTCTAAATGAAGTTTTCCCCTTTCGCGCGAAGCGCGGAATTTTTGGCGTTTCATCACAATATAAAGAAAGGAAAATGATTCGTCGTACCGTTTTCGAATCTTATTATTATTAAGCCCTATTCATCTGAATTCAGTTTCCCCCTCTCGCGCGAAACGCGAAAGCTTTGTCGTTTCTTCAAATTATTAGAGAAAGAACACGATTCGTTGTAACGTTTTCGACTTTTAGTAAGCCCTATTTGTCTGAATTCAGTTTCCCACTTTCGCGCGAAACGCGGAAGCTTTGACGTTTCCTTAAATTATTAGAGAAAGAAGACGATTCGTTGTACCGTTCTCGATTCGTCTAAATGAAGTTTCCCCTTCCGCGCGAAGCGCGGAATTTTTGGCGTTTCATCACAATATAAAGAAAGGAAAATGATTCGTCGTACCGTTGTTGACTCTTAAACCTTGTTTGAATTTAGTTTCCCCGAAAATTTTAAACCACTGATTTCTTTAGCTGATATTATAGGAAAGTGAAACTTCGAGAAAATACAAGTATTGTGGTTGTAGTCACTCTCGAAGTCGTCACAGCGGATAAGAAGTCGCAGTTCGTAGGGAAAAAAACTTGTCGGCCGACCGACAATATACATCTCACCGACTTCAAACTTATGCATTGATGAGGATCGAGCAAGAATACCGACACAGCTGACCCGACACAGCAACATATTTACCCGTGTCTTTCTTGCTCCCTCGACGAGACGACTCCACCCAACAACCCCTTTTTCTCTTTTACTCCCACTCCTCATCTCTCAGACTCTTACCTCCCCTCTCTCTCCTCTCTCTCATCCCCCGTTTCTTTTGTTTCCCTTTCACTCTTTTTCTTCTTTTCTTTCTTTTCTTTCTTTTCCTTTCTTTGCTCTCCCCCTCTTTTTCTTTTTTCTCTTTCTTTCTTCTCTTTTCTTTCCTTTCTTTTCCTTTCTTTCCTTTCTTTTCCTTTCTTTCTTTTCTTTTCCTTTTCTTTTTTTCTTTTCTTTCCCTTCCCCTCTCTTTTTTTCCCTCTCTTTTTTTCCCTCTCTTTTTTCCCTCTCTTTTTTCCCCTCCCCCTTTTCTCTTTTTCCCGACGGCAGCGCAATTTTACCGACAATATCCTGACAGGTGGGGGGGGGGGGGTGTCGCACCCCCCCCACACCCCCCTTTGGCGACGCCCCTGATGGCAAATATCGTATTACTAGAAACTGGTATGCTAACAGATAGCCATCATGCAAGTTTTAGGTTAACTACATATCGGGTGATTTATAAAAAATACAAATAAAACAACCTCCATAGCGTCTGGGATATGCAAGAGATTCGCCGGAAAATAACGATGTTTTAATGCCGTCACAATATGAACAAACCCTGCCCAAGCAGACGACATCCCATAAAGAATGAACATATTATTGCAATGCTTTTATTTCTCAAATTATAATGAGTTTAGTGTATATAAATGTGTTGGAATTTTACACCATTCAAAAAGGGATATGACCCCCATTCTGATAACTAAATTATTTTGTTTGTAAATACACAGGATAGGAGTTAATGAGCAATCAAAGAAACCACAATTTCAGATTAAAAAACCTCCGGAATGATAGCATGGACGTCATTTGTTCCCTCTTAAAACGCCGAACATGCCGCGGTGTAAGCAGCTGAAAATACAATGGCGTCATTTTGTTTACAAGCGACGGATTCCTTTTTTTGTTGTTAATCCTTGCATTTTTCATCAAAATAATACCATGCACGGGGTTTAGAGTGAGGCAATAGATTAAACATTTCGCCTGAGGGCATTGAAGTAAGAGAAATTACTGAAGAAAAGATGACAAAACAGGCACTGAAATTGTGTGAGATGTCATGGAACATCGTCTGCTTGTGCACATCATGTTCAACATGTAACGTCATATCTCAGCAGCGAACGGAGGCAGGCAGGGGCGGCCGAGCGACTTTCAAAGTGGGGGGGGGGCACCAACAAAAAAGGGCACTTTCTGGAAAAAAAAGGGCACCTACAGTGTGAAATCTCAAAGCGAAAATATACAATTTTTAGACATTGGTATATACCCTACATTGTGATTACATTATCAGGGATGATTTCAATATTTTTTTCTATTCATACATCATACAAGATATCGCTTAAGCATCAAACTTTACAGTTGGGTGTGATGTCTGAATATGAATTTACGAGCGAGCGAAGCGAGCGAGAAAAATTTTAAAGATCTGTGAGGTCGCAGTGCGAAAAATTACATCTTATAAAGAGGAAAAGCCAATCGTGATGGGGTTATAAGCACATTCTCATAACGGAAGACTGAAAAGACCTTTGATAAGTAACATAATTATATAATCTTTAAATGCGAGCGAGCGCAGCGAGCGAACTTTGGGGGAAACTGCTCTTAGTCGCTTCAAATAAGGGGCACGTTTAATGATTACATGAAAAGGGGACAATTATCGAAAGGGATAAAACACTTATTAGAAAAGAAAAGGAGCACGTGTATAAGTACAAAGGATAATTATAAGAGGTGAAAATGAGGCATTTTTTCACTTGAAAAGAGGCACTCACCAGTGATGAAAAGGAGGCGTTTACGAAAATGGGAAATAGGCATTTGTTGACGGAAAAGGGGCACCCATCAGATTTTGATAGGGTCATTTATAAGAGGTGAAAAGGGGATAGGTCCCTTATTAGAAAGGAAAAGGGGCACGTATCATTATTAAAAGGGGAATTATCAGAGTTGCAAAGGGGCACTGACCAGATATGAAAAGGGGCATTTATGAAAATGTAAAAGGGGTACTTATAATAAAGGAAAATGTGCATTTGTTGAATGAAAAGGGGGCACCGTTCAGATGTTTATAAGGGGCAGTTATGAGAAGGGGAAGGGGAAGTTATGAGAAGGGGAAGGAGCTCTCTCTTTTTAATGGGGGCACTTATCATAAGGAAAAGGGGCATTTATTAGAAAGGGAAAGGGGGAGTTATGAGAAGGGGAAGGAGCTCTCTCTTTTTAATGGGGGGGGGGGCACTTATCATAAGGAAAAGGGGCACTTATTAGAAAATAAGAGGGGCACATGTTAAAATGAAAGGTGCGCTCATCCGAGTTTAAAAAAGGGGTAGTTATTAAAAGGAGAAGAGGCACTTCTTACAAAGGAAAAAAAGGGAAGTTGTCAAAGTAAAAAGAGCACCTCTCAGTTTTGAATAGGGCAATCATCAGAAGTGAAGGGGGCACTTATTAAAAGTGAAAAGGGGCATTTCTGGTACCTGAAAAGAGGCACTTACTAGAGATTAAAAAGGGCACTTATTCAAGATAATTTCAAGATTCATGAGAATTGAAAATGAACATTTATTGCAAAGGAAAATGGGAACATGTCGAAGGAAAAGGGGCACGTGTCAAAAATAAAAAGGGCACTCGTCAGAGGTGAAAAGGGGAAAGGGGCACTTTTACTAAGTAATAGGGGCACTTGTCAAAGTAAAAGGAGCACCTTTCCTATGTAAAAGGGGCACTTCTTACAAAATAAAAGGGGCACTTTTCCTATGTAAAAAGGGGCATTTTGGGGGTATCTGAAAAAGTGGGGGGCACTGCCCCCCCCCCCCCCCGGGAGGGCCGCCTCTGATGTCAGGGCTGTATCTAAGCGTTTTGTAATTGTAAATAATTATTACTTCGAATTTTCCAAAGTGTCACCTTTGCAATAATGACATTAAAGTTAGTTTTTTAAATCAATGAACCTTCTCTTTAATGAAACATCATGTACATGTATTTATTACATAAACGACAGTGAAAAGGTATACAATCATATTTTGACCTAACCTTACTTCCGAATATGCCCGAATATGATCGAATATCTCAGTTTACTTTGTAGATCCCATGCTAACTATAAACACGATCCTGAAAAGGAGGCACTTTCTTTCATAAGATTCAAATATAAAATAGAGCCATATGTCACGCAAGTACGTCGAAAAAATTGATGTCACCAATGTACTCAATGGGGGGGGGGGGGGGGGGGGGGGGGGAGGGTCAGTACGGCATTACGTACACAGAATGCTGCAACAACAAATCCTTTCATTCGAATCCTTTCACAGCCAGCTCGTTTGATAATCTACAACGTGATTTTGATTAATACACCATAATTGATTTATGCATCCTCTATTTCTTTCTATATCAATCATGTGCTGTGATGTAGAGGGGGGGGGGGGGGGGCGAAATTTGAAAAAAGCACCGACCAATATTAGGCTCAGTGGGGGGGGGGGTAGTGAGCACTAACATTTTTTTCTTCATTTGGCCCCCGAAATTTGAAAAAAAAAAATTTGTTGTTTTGTTTTGCCAGGGGGTGGGGGGGGGGGGGGGCATTATCATTTTTAGTTTAACTTATAAGCTAAAATTAATGTTATTTTACGCGTTTTTTTTCCAGCCTCCCCCCTTGATCCACGCCTGCCCCTTGTTGCAAGGTGTGATCAGGATTAGGAACGACACTGGTTTTGTGTATATTTATGGCAGTATAGACCGTTTGCGTTATAAACCCACGTCGGAGTGCCAACAGATCAGTATATCGTCCTGTCTTTTCAAACGACTTTGAATTCTAACTAATGTCATTCATAAATCTTAATCCCGGAAACTATAAAAAAGGAAATCAATTATTTAATTATTTTTACTTATATAGCTCAACGATAAGGGAATATAATTATAGAGACAGTACCCTTCGTAATGACAACCGATGTCTTGATCTGTATAACTTTTTTCTTTTTATTTTTTATCAATATGTTTATATATTCAGGATAACAATATACATAATTACAGATATAAACACAATGTATCCTGTTTTACATCTGAATTTTGATGAGTTGGCATTAATACATCAATGAGAAAAACTGGATATTTGTCCTGTTTACAGGCAAACACAAATAAACATTGAAAATAAAATTATGAGAATGTTAATAATTACAAATAGCAAATTACAGAGACTGAACGGCTTAACAATACCATAAATAGAATATTGATGAAATTATTGAAAAAATAGTTAATAAAGAAATTGATTCTGTCCCCTTCACAAAGAATTCGATAACAAAATTAATCGTGTAATGAAATTGATTGCAACTGAAATAATTTGTATGAAACTTAGTGGAGAATACAAGAAAAAAATCATTGACATGGAAATGGTTGCTGCGTTACACCAATAATTCAGTAATTCGTACACGTTTGAACATCTCTCATTATTCGTTTGTAATTAATACTACATGTAGATGTAGCATTTTGAATAACACATGGCAAACCATTTCAATTTTATCTAGCGGTATCCAAAGCTATTCTAAAACATTCGAGAAAAGGCTCGGATTAACAATCTTCAAAGTAATGGCAAGTCTTGTATTACAATCAAATCTATCAATAACAATTTGAAATTTAAATTTAATTACACGTCGTATTGAAGCAATAGTTCCGTGAATAGAATCAAACATAGTACATGTTAGAAAAAAAAAATGCCTGTCCACATTTGACTTTAATTTAACTGCTTTGTTATTTATATTATAATCAGTATAACAGCTCTTTTTTGTAATCTTAAAAGAACATTTTTGTTCTGCATAATGAACAATCATTCCACACGGAGTATGAATAATCAAAGATTAGCTGTATGGTTTTGTTTGGGGATTACACATGTTAACGGTTTATTATCAAGAAAACCACCGCAGAGTTCGTTGGAAATCCGTTTCATTCCACAATAATGTAACGTAATCGCCCAAAATAATGTGCATAGACCTACTTTGGTAGATAACATGTAGTATTTATCAGAGGAAAGAACTAAAAGGAACGTTTTGTCATCCCGAGACAATACAGACAAACAATTATTACTTAACGATAAACATGATTTCAGTTTTTCATTCTTCCATAGAATCCATACATTCTAGGGTGAATAATCACAAAAACAATTGAACAAAAATGTCGATTACATATCAAAAATTTACAACAAGATCAATATAAAAAATAGTTTATACAAATCCATGATTAATCAATTCATGGTGACAATCAAAGAGCATCAGATATAACATATTAATGATTATTTTGTTCAACCATATAACCTAGTACCTGATAATATCGTTGGAACGTAAATAGCTTTCACCTACTTTCCAGAGTTTTTGTTCCATACCAATAGTTTAAACAGCACGAAAAATAGTATTTGTTTATTCATGGTTGGCAGACAATGACATGTGTACAAATATGAACATGCTTTTCAATGTTTCGTGAATTCCGCATGATACAACACAAACCCAAATAAAACAAACACAGTATTATTAGCAGATAATGATTTCATATGAAACAGGTTTTACAAATAGCAAGAGGAGCAGAATTACAACCATTCCCACTATCATGTCTTAATCCGTCGATATATCTTGGCCTACTCGTTTTTTCCGAAACCGAAGGTTCCTAATTTAGAGACACATATTTCCCATAACACGAAGATGAAATTTTGGAGATTTGGAATTCCAAAATGAAATAGGGTTCATAAATCTAAAGATTCGTAATTCCGAAAATGAAATAAATTTGATGATTAAAACCCTTCGATACAGTTCTCTTGCATTTTCGGAAATATAAACCTTCGGGGTTACCAACTCTTTTACATTTTCGGAATTTTGATGCTTCGAAAATATCATGCAGCCTTCGAAACCTTCGGAAGAACGACAGGCAACCAATATATCTATGAAGCCCCCTCATCATATACTATACGCGATCTGATTGCCATCTGATTTTCAAGGAAATTACAAAACCACTATAAGTGAACAATAATTTATAAACAAATCTGCGTCACTGTGCTTTCTAATAAAGTTTGCCGAGTACAGCTTGCCTTGAAGTTAGAGAAAAAGGCTAAATCGACTTTAAAAATCTGGAACAGTCGTGGTCACTGGTCTGACGTCGCTACGATTGGCGTCCGATTTGGCCTTTTCCCAACTGGGAGACCAGTAATATTGTACCCCTAAATTCTCATATTATTTTCATGACCGATAGTATTCTCACTAAGATTATCAATGATTGAACTGGTGAAGTTATTTATCGATATCATTACAATACAATCCCAAAGCGGATTCAAAATCAGATTTTTCAGTGTGATGTAAGGTCAATCCCATTGCTAATGGACACATTTATGGAAGAGCTATAAAGTCACCCGTCTTTTGCAATAGACTTCACACCATTAAGCAGTACACATTTCGATGTAAATTTACATTTCATTCATTATTCCAGGCAATCCTAGGAAGGTAAATCAAACAATAACAATCGATATACCACAGAGAAGTAAATTAGCGACACGAAATGCGATTGGATGGTGATCGTGCTTAGATTCCACCAAAGCAGACGTATTTGATTTCCTGATACTCGTCCATTCCATACTTCGACCCCTCCCTACCCATTCCTGATTCCTTAACGCCACCGAAGGCTGCTATGTCCGTTGAGATAAGGCCTTCGTTCACGCCTACCATACCGACTTCGAGCTTCTCGGCGACTCGCCAGATTTGACCGATGTTGTTGGAGTAGAAGTAGCCGGCGAGTCCGACACGCGTGCTATTGGCGATCGCCAGGACCTCCGCTTCTGTTTTAAACCTGCATGGAGAGAAGGAAAGTCAATCAGAACACTGTGCGCTTAGAAACATCAGTATTAAGCGCCTAATAAATGTTATGTATTATTATTATTTAATGTGGGAACAATCGGAAACATATACAATGAGAACTAATAGCCCGTAATTTTATGCAGCTCGAATGCTCGTGGCTACGTTGATAAATGTGAGAAACTTGACGAGGTATTTCATGTCACAACCTGAACTGTGATTTCTCATCATGGTTTCCGTACTTCTCATCCTATAGCTGTCTGGAATTTCGGCATGTTGTCTGGTCTTGTGAGAATGTGATTTAATAATAATGATAATGATAGGCATTTATATAGTGCCGTCTATCTAGACATTCTATTCCAAGAAGGACTTGTTTTGTTGATTGATTTGTTAGTCGATGTCTTCTGAACGTTGCAAAATATGTTGCAAAAAAAAGTTCATAGGCAAGCGACCAGTACAACATCTGCAGTCCTTCCGCTGCAGCAATACAGTGATAACCCTGACTAAAAATGAGGCAACGTGAGCGTTTTTTCACAGGTATCATAGCCATACTGGTGGAAAAAATATTTCAACAAAAAAGGAAGGATTTCGCGCTTGATTTTGCATCAAGTACTATCACTGTTTATTTTATAAATAAGAGAACAAATTCCAACTTATTTGGTTTTGGAATAAAAGAGAAGCATAAAAGAAAATTGAGATGACAATGTGACAACTTAGATCTGTTAAAATAACAATTCAATGGCATCTTTCACAAAGGAACAAACGTTCAGATTGGAGAACATATTATTCTGGATGCTGCCTCAAGAAACTTACTTAATGATTGCAGCTAGGGGTCCGAATGTTTCTTCTTTACAAACTAGAGCATCGGTTGGTACATCTCGGATAAGTGTAGGTTCGAAGAAGCTACCGCCTAGAGCATGCCGTTTGCCTCCTACCAGAACCTTCCCACCATGTGAAACTGCGTCTTGTACATGGTGCTCGACCTTCAAACGACAAAAGTGCAGTATTATTTGCATTGGAGTAACAATGGTATGGACAATACGATCAAGACTATATTGCAGACATTCCGCAAACACTCTGTCATCACAATAAGGCCTAGGTCACTTACAATGGTAACCTATCATGATGACATAATATACGACATTGACTTTCAAGGTCACAAAATAAAGTTCACTATCTCTAAATGTTTCTAAGATGACACAATAGTGACAGAAGCAATGTAAATAAATGCCAGGTCAAATATTTCAGTGTTAAAGGAAGTTTGTTCCGCCGTGGCCATATTTTGCCATGGCCATATTTTGATATAATATTTGATGTCTTTGGACTATCATAAAGCTTGCATTTCTTCTTGAAATTCTTGAAATACTCTGTTCACATAGTTATCGAATTCCTGAAAGGTCAGCTAGAAGATTCACATCTCATCAACTACAATTCTTTCTATATTCTTTGAATGAAGCCGTCTACCTTATCCACCCCTTTCACGTTGATAAGAGGACCTTGTGTTGTTTTAGAGTCCATGCCGTCACCGACGACCAATTTTTCGACTTCAGCCGCCATTTTTTGACAAAACTCGTCGTACACCTCCTCTTGCACAAAGATTCGGTTGGCACATACGCATGTCTATAGGGGATGAAACATAAATTACAGTTAACACAAAACAATCACTTCATAGACCACATAATTATTATGATTAAATGCACAGCGGAGAAAAGCAAAACATAAGACGTATACTGATTTCTACTTCCGAATACGTAAAATTGATATTTAAATCGCAATAATTTATGATTAATAAAACAAATAAATTTCTTGGTAGGCCTAGTGGAACCGTACACATCCAATTACATTTTGTAACGTGACATAAAGGTATTACTATATTTCATGTAAACCTCTGTCTTTCAAGTAATAGTTGTGTAACAAGACTCTCAATTTGGTTGAACATCCCATTAAATGTTTCACTGGGGAATAATAATGTTTAACGTAGGAAAGAAAATTGTGTTCATTCAGACCTGTCCTGACCCGCGGAATTTGCAGACCATGGCGCCAGAGACGGCGGCGTCTACATCAGCCGAGTTGAACACAATAAATGGTGCGTTGCCACCGAGTTCCATGGAAACCCGTTTGACTGTATCTGCCGACTGCTTTAGTAAGATCTGAAATAAAAGAAAAATTTATAGTCTTAACAATAACATGCATGTTAAAACGATGAATGCACTCACCTTAAACAATGTTGCTTATATTCATCTTGAGAATTCATAACAGTGTAAACATAAAGGGAAGAGCAAACCCTTCTATTTTTTGATAATCGTGACGTCAGAGTGGATAACTTTTATTATATAGCGCATATGAATATTCTAGGCCTCTGATTGGTCGAAACTGCAGGCATGAATGTCACTACTGACAGCTGGGAAGTAAAAATCGTCGATGATTTCACGAAGTGGCTCACGCACAGCAAAACAGCAAGAACTTGATCTGTGAAAAATGCGATGAAAGGCTCCTTTTTTTAAGTGTTTGCAAGAACCAACATTTGCAGACTTAGCAAGGTAGGAAAGAGGAGAATTTACTCTTTATATCCATTAAAATAATACGATTATCTGCTCTATATGAAAACACTGCAATGCCGCAAACAAAGGGGTCATTTCGTGAAATAACGCCTTCACGCTAAATGACCTGAGAATTCTTCCACAAAACGGCACCTCCTCTCGCGCGCAGAGTGTATAATTATGATATTGGAAATATAAAGTACCTCTACAAAGGTGATTGTAGGCCTATTCTATGTTACATAAATCGACAAACAAACGAATTCCCCTTGCCACTAACGCCAAGAAATTCAAGTTCGCATTCCTATGTGCCATTTTGTGAAACATCTGATTGCCAAAATCATGTTTAGGCCCTATTCTGCACGACGACATATTGCACGTGCCCCCTCGTGAAATAACTGATTTGCAAAATCATGATTGCTTCGCGCGCCATGAGTGCTCGTGCGTTTCGTGAAATTATTGATTTCCAATATCATTTACTATCAAAAGTAGTTTTTAGTAGATCAAAGTGGCAATGTCAAAAAGCTTTATAAGGGGCACTTTTTAGCGATTCAAATGAACAAGTTTGGTGATACCAGAGAAGTTTAACTGTCTTTCATGCTCTTGACTATTCTTACCTAAATGACTGTCCACGTCTTATACTGGATTCTTTTATGGCAAATTGCACATGAGACCCTTCACAAGGGAGGAGGTTTCCATGGGTACGATCGCAAGCCATTGCGACCCCCATCCCAATTTTTTGTAGTGTGTGTTTATAAAAACAAAAAATAGATGACCTCGTTGTTGTTGTGTTTTTTTGTTGTTGTTGTTTTTTTTTGGGGGGGGGGGGGTGCTTCTCAGAGATTTTAAGGTGTGTACACCTAGCTCATCTATAAAGAGAGACTTCTGTCCCTGAGCACACCTGTATTTTAAAGAAAATCATAAGGAAGAGCATATAGTCCACGGTTCGAGCCCCGCCGCGGCACTAATGTCCTTTGGCAAGACATTGATCTACATTTGCCACGACATTGATCTACATTTGCCACATTCAACCCAGGTGATGTAAATGGGTACCTGTCGTGAATTTATTCTTTGAAATGCTAGAGCGTCGCAATGGCAGCACAGCTAAAGCCGGGTAATAATCTCCAAGTTTGGAAGTGCTTAGTGATTCTAATGAGCGCTATACAAAAACTGAGTACCTATTATTATAATATGATATCATAGACCAACCTTTCCAGTTTGAGTTGAACCTGTGAAGGATATCTTAGCCACCAGAGGACTCTCACACATAACCCTTCCCACGTCTGCAGCATGGGATCGAGAACATGGAACCACGTTGAACACACCAGCAGGTAGTCCCGCTTGGTTGGCCAACTACAATATATACAAGAACAAATTCGGTACTTAACCATCATAGCTTTAATGTTTTATTATGAATAATATACGGTCATGAATGTAGATAATGATGACGGCCAAAAATTAATGGTGACGACAAAATATTATTATCTAAACGTTTATTGTCATGGTGATATTTTTACTCCCTGTTTCAACAAATTGCATTTATAACCCTTCAATTTGACAACTATCAAGAACTCTCAGAATTTTGAAGAGAACTTCTCCATTGTTATTGGTAGCTGCAACAATTGACTTCTGCATTTAGGATACAGGAATATCCACCGAAAGAGATGAAAGGTTGTAAATCAGGTATACCTCACACAAGGCAAGCGCCGACAGAGGCGTATCTTCTGCTGGTTTGACGACCACCGTGCATCCAGCTGCGATCGCTGCGGCAGCTTTTCTCGTAATCATTGCACTGGGAAAATTCCACTGAAATTTTGAGAAAAAAAAAAAAATTGCTACCAAGCATTATCTGACTGGTGCTATAATATGATGAAGGGAGAAGAGAAACAAAATATGTGATGATGAATTAGAAAAACATGAGTTACATAGATTTACTGTAATGAACCCCTCCCCCCCCCCCTTAATGCAGTAAGGGTTCATGAAGAAAAAAAAGAACTTGCAACATGACAAATTTTAATGATAACTTAATGAAATTATTTAATCAAATCATACAAATTTAGAAAGAAAGAAAAATCAGATCTGCCACTACACATATGAAAGTTATGACGACGACTGCTAAATTCTAAAAAACAATCCAAAGTATTGGTCCCTCGCGCACCCCCCTCCCTCGCCCCCCTCCCCAATAATTATGTATGTAATTCATGTAGTTTTAAATTGCTTGAGTCAGCTTAAATTCAAAACCATTGTATAATAACGCAAAACTAGTTTTTGAAATGTTATATATCAAGCTTTAGTGAACGTTATACCTTAATATAGTGACAAAGTTCAATGTATTCAGATAGCCTATACCAAAGAGATACCAGCTCTTCGGATATACTGCTAATATAAGGCTGACAATGACATGGCGTTCTTCATATTTACAGAGTGATAAGCAATATGTTATCATTACGATTATTGATTTACATAAAGACGTCATAAGTCGGGCGTTTTTGAAAACATGTTACACACGATTCCCGGACAACTACCACCTGAATAAAATTACTTGTTTCATCATCAGAGCTTCAATTCAAATAACATAAACATGTAGAGAGCAAAAGGGGGTTTTGTAAAACGCTTTGTTTGAACTTGTATATTTACTTTTCATGGGCTATGTTTACAATGTTCTTCTGCCAATTGCTTTTTAAACCCTTTTTAAAACCATACGAGCTTCAATTCAAATAACATAAACATAATGTACACAAAACGGGAACAGTAATTTTATTATCAAAGTACAAATTCTGAAACGATTTGTTTTTAATCGTATATTTTCTTTTCAGGGGCTATAGGTTTACAGCTATCAATATTGATCTTTGCTTTATTGTTGTCTTTTCTTGATAAGCGATGATCTTTCACATACATAATACAGTGACATAATTTCAGAATTCGGAAGAGAAATACAGGGTGTATGGAAAGCAATTTGGTATTCCAGTAGTTGTTGAAAGAAAGGAACTGAACAATATTAAACCAGGGAAACGGTAATCAACACAAACCTAGCAATCTAACTTCTAAGCTATGATTTTACAGGAGACTAGTTTACTACGTTGATGCATACTTTTTAAACAAAATTTCTCTGGACAATCATGAAGCTTTTCAGAGGCTTGCCCGACTAATCAGCAAATAATGTATGCAAAAAGTGGATTCCATTCATTGAGATCCATTATTCATAGCAGGTGAATGGGATGGATGCATGTTTACCAGGGATTAAAAAGAGAAACATGCATTTAAATATTAATAAACAGATCTAATCATTCTAAAGCAAATGAGGTCAGTCAGAGGTAACCATAATATTATGAACATGCCTCCCCCAACCAACCCACCCCCCCCCCCCTCTCTCTCTCTATCTCTCTTTCTCTTTTAAGAGGCTCTGTTTGTTGAGTTGCAAACAAGATTTTAAAAACAACTACCGGTACCTAACTCGTTTATCCTTTCAAAATCACACCCTCGCTAACTATTACCTATATGGACTCTAACGTTCTATTATGGAGGCTCATTTATTATGTATATTATACTCTCATATTATATGACTTTGATGTAACTTTGAAAATATTATACAAATATCAAACTGGCAGTTTCAGTATAATGTTCTTCAGCTACGGCGAACATGATGTATGTACAAGGGTCGGTACAGGGGTAGGTAAACAGTTCGGGAAGTTGTGTAACCAAAGATAAATTTGACCTTATTAACAATTGGTTGATTGTGATATTTGCACTTGCAGGGCATATCCACTCGTTCATGACCTTCAGGAAACTAAAGCTATCAATTGTCGCTGGAGCATTAAATTGGATCACCTGTGCACCTGACAATAATATAAGATGAAGAGTATATTTGTACATGACTGTATTTGTTTCATGAGGTATTATACTTACAGGTGTAATCATAGCTGCTACCCCTACAGGTTGTCGAATGAATATCATCCTTTTTGTCTTGACTGGAGATGAGACAACATCACCATAGGATCGACGAGCTTCCTCTGAGAACCATTCGTTAAAAGATGCTGCATAGCCGATCTCACCCATTGCTTCCGACAAAGGCTTGCCCTAAAATCGATGTGGAAAATAGTATTGTTTAAAAAATGAAACTCGATCCTGCTCCGTTGAATTCCCTTATGTTTTATGCACTTGAAATGATGATTGTCGATCAATTATAATATTTGGCCGTATAGCTTTGTGCTTTTTCTTTAAAAGTCACAGAGATATACTGCAGTTTTATTCCAGGTATCTTCCAATTCATGGCACAAGATAATAATGCTGAAAAGAGTATATCATGCCTAACCAGAATCCCTTATAGTGTACATTCATCTTAAAATGCTTCTCATGCAATCAACTTGTCTGAATCCAACAGAATGATGACCAGTTTTGGTTTTGAACTTTTGATATGAATTTTGATATGAACTAATTCGGTCAAACCCACGCATTCCATATTGGATATTAGGTATATTCAGAGAAGACCTTGACTGCGATTACCATCATCAATAAAATAATACATTAAGATTTAAAAACAATCTGAAGACAAATTCATGTATAGCTGTACCTTGTCAATATCATGACACGTTTAATGATTGATAGAACAAATTGAACAGATTGAACAAACAAACAGCGAACATAATAGACTTTAGTAATGAATGACTCACATTTTCTGATGTCAACAGTTTGGCTAGCTCTTCTTGATTCTGCATCATTAGTTCTGCCCATCGTCGAAGAATTATGCCCCTCTCCTGAAAATCAAGAAAACTTGCTTTAAAAAATACCTGTAGGCCTACTCTTGTAAACCAAAATGCCAACACAATTGCCAGTTTGTGTATCTCCTAATTCTTTAACTGTCCTTGACCTCGCCAAACAAATGTATTGTAGGAGGGTCATCGGGCAAAGCAACAATAATATTATTGGATATGGCACTGCTGATGAATAAAGAAAACCAATAGAGCTGACAGCTTTTAAATGGGGATTTCGTCACCGATTCATATTTCAGGTATAATATTGCAAGGGTAGGCCTATAATAGTTAGTAGTATCATCAAAGATAAATTAACACGATCGCAAACACTTGAGAAAACCAGGCTTGTGTGTCATATTTTCAAATATGCAACAGTACAAACTAATACGTACATGATTTCTAAGGCAATGTGATATAGCGTATGGAGATTGCCTTGAACGTCTGTTAACTAAACACCATTTTATACATTAGTGGACCTGATTGTAAAAATAAATACTAGCGATATAATATTAATAGTGATAGGAAGTTCTGATTTACAAGCTTATACATCACTCATAATAGGGGGATTCTTAAACTGACATAATTCTTGTCATAATGAATAAATAAATATTTAAACACTCAAATCAATCAGTATTCAATGATGATCTCAAGTGTTTAAAATTGATTGCTTTCTTTTTCACTGTCCGATTCGAATTATTATTCAGTGATTGTTTCTCTGATTTTTCTTCTTCTCGGAATACAAACAAAAGTTTAATTAACTCTGAATCACTTTTTCTAAAATCGTTCATTTTGCTATCATACTGGAAATATGAAAATAAACCAACTGATGGTGGGATGGTTCATCATCATCATATTACGTATAAACTTCGATGAACGAAAAAATGAAGATAATAGTTTGATAAAAAATGAATATTATTGTATTTCGCTGCATCTCACTATTCCTCGGTTTAAAAGTCAAGTGTCTAATATATTTTGAAAGAAAACAGAAGGTAAGGTGGCTTATTGAGTAATAGGTATTAACTATATGAGGCACAAAAGATATATTTCAACAATATCTGCATAAATTCTAATTGTGATTCGTACTTTCGTAAGTGCATGTATACACAAAATGCTTGGCATTATTTCTTGTATAAGTCATGTACTAACGAGAGTACGAAACACAGTGAGAAAATTATTGGCATTCGGCCAGACATCTGCATTGTTGTGGGTATAGAAAGAGGAAGAAAATGAAAATGAAGTATGCAGTACATTGTGTATACAGCTTCTCGACATGAAAAGGTCTAAAGTCTACTTGTCCAGAGTATTGAACAAAATTTGGTCATAACATCGACAACTTTCCTTCCCCGTCCTGAAAACATCACTTCATTACATCAACAATGGAGAGCACGGTGATTTGGATGAATATCATTCTATAGACAGATAACGTTTTTATAATCATGATAATGGTCAGACAAGACGGATACAATTAATATATCCAATTATCCATACTACGGAACTTCTTCCCAAGTATTAAAAAGTAGTCCATCACTGCATGACGAGTTATTATATTCACATAGGCAGAAGGTACAATGCATTCATTCCTTGTTACTGAGCTGAACAAAAGTATCTAAACAATACTATAGTATATAATTATGATTCAATTATGATGTCTTTCTTTATATTAAGCGTAGACTAATGTAAAATAAATTGTAACGTTGTCCTTATCAAAATCGATCGCATTGTATGGAAAGTATTATATCTCGTTATGAGAAATAAAGACATCGGCTATCTCTAATGCCCAAATAAAATGAAAATGGATATAACAAATATAATTTATACTGGTGTATAAAGGTTTTAATAAGCCAGTTTCGTAATGTAACCAAATTTAATGCATACGTCTTTGTGAAGTGCCTCAATACAAATTATTTCATTCACCTGATAAGAATAATAGTATTTCAATAGTCAGAATGCAACTGCATATATTAAGTTGTTGCCAGGTTGGACAAACATTATGGCTTGACCTACCTAGCAACACTTAATATATGCAGTTGCATTCTGACTATTGAAATACTATTATTCTTATCAGGTGAATGAAATAATTTGTATTGAGGCACTTCACAAAGACGTATGCATTAAATTTGGTTACATTACGAAACTGGCTTATTTTACTGAGCTGGATGGTTACTTGTTTATTTTACACTGTACATTTAGCTTTCCACTCTGATATGCTTCAGCACACTCCTGACCTACATTCATTCTCTCATATCTGCTAGCTTTTGGCTTCTATTGTTTGCTGTCCCTATTCATTCATCCTCATGCAGATTACCTGCATGCCATAGCATCACACCGCCACACACTCTTCCTATCTCTTAGCTATTCAACCCAGCACACTATAGGCACATGGCACTCTATATTTTCTATTGGTTACATACTTCCTGTCCAATCTTGTGATTGGTTATTAGGGACTTTTAGATTCGCACGAAGACAATAGGGATTGCTACGATCGACGTCCTTTTAATGCACTGCCTTGAATGGACGTCACACGTATATCAGTCCACGCAAATCTAAAAGTCCCTATTATTGTTTGAAGGACTGCATGTCAGCCATCTTGGCAGCCATTTTGTGGTTGTATTAAAATCCAACAGTGCAGCTCAAGTCATCAAACATGTAAGACTAGTTTTGTCTTGTGTGGGTCCTTACACTGGTTTTGGACGTCTTTCCGATTATAATTGTATTCACACAAATTGATGTCTATATACTAAAACAAATAAAGTTATGCTCAATGGATCCAATGCTAAAATATAAAATGACTCGGAAAAACAACAACATTGCAATAAATTGTGTATATACATAACTGATCAATGTCTAGATTGGTATAATTTATGATACAGAAAACAGCTTTACCATATTATACACACTTTAGATTCGAAACTAAAACTATAATCTCACAATTCTGTGCAGGACTATACTATTCTAATCAAGGTTTAGCCTCTTCCTTATTCACTTCCTTCATAGTCAAAGTTATGTATTTATAAAATATTTATTAAAATAGTAAGTAATCGAACCTTTGCAGTGGTGTCTCTCCAAGGTCCATAAAACGTGTCGTTGGCGACTTTGATCGCTTCCTCCATATCAGAGGCATTGCCATCGACAACCGTCGCGATGGTGGATCCATTGGCCGGATTTGTGACTTGGAACGTCGCTTCCGACTTTGCATCTACCCAAGTACCGTTGATGAAGGCCTTGTCGTGGAAGAGCGAACCGTGACTGGAAGACGTCGACATCTTAGACCATTGCTTGTAACTCAAGAGTGATCTATATGCGTGCTGCTTGGATGCTGATGTAGTGACTACCCACGATAAACAGGGTGAATTGGATGCACTTTGGTATCCGCGGCGGAGCAGCATTGTCAGGAGGGCGCCCGCTCCTGGTAATCTACGTCCAAGTTGCTGAGCCATAATCTATGAAAGCAATGCGAAATTCGAATAAAAATATACGTAGGTTTATAATACATCCGATAGTAATTTATGTTGTGTGTTTATACAAAGCAGGATTTTTAAGCGTCCCTTCTTTCCGAACTACATTTATCCGTCCACACACAAAAGAGGGTATGCCTATTCGCAACAGAAACCGTAGACCACAGGGCCCGCGCTAAGGCGTTTTAAGGGGCACCTATAAAGGGGCACCTCAAACCGAAAAATACAATTTTCAGACATTGGTATATACCCCTACATTTTGATTACATTATCAGGGATGATTTCAATGTTTGTTTCTCTCTTTACATGGTCTAAGACACTGCCTAAGCATCATACATGTACTTTGCAGTTGGGTGTGATGGTATTTTGTGAGGTCGCAGTGCAAAAAATTGTATGTTTTAAAGAGGAAAAGACAATCCTGAAGGTGTTTTAAGCACAATCTAATCATGGAAGACTGTAAAGCCCTTTAATAAGAAAAATAATTATATCAACTTTAAATGCGAGCGAGCGTAGCGAGCCAGCTTAGGGTGAAATTCAAGAAAATTTGCTCTTAATCACTCTAAATTATAGGAGCACATTGCATGGAGAAACGAAAAGGGGGCACATATCCAAAGGGAAAGGGATAGTACACTATTAGAAGAAAAAAAAAAGCACATGTCAAAGTAAAAAGGGAAATTACCGGAGGTTAAAATGGAGGCACTCCTCGCATTTAATAAGGGGCACTCACCAGAGATGGATAAAGGCACTAATGACAACGGAAAGGGGCACTTATTACAAAGGGGAAAAGGGCATAATATATCAGAAGGAAAATAGCACTAATTAGAAATGATAATGGGCACGTGTCAAAATAAAAGGGGCACTTATCAGAAATGAAATTGGGCACCAATAAGAATATAAAGACGGCATACAAAGGGAAAGAGGCAGTTGTCAAAATATAAGAGAGACTAATATTTGAAAAAGAGGCAATTGTAAGCGGTAAAGGGGCACTTATCAGAGATGGTAAGGGGCAGAGGCGGATCCAGCCGGCGGCAAGAGGAGGGGGGGGGGGGGAGGGGCTCAAATCTTGAGAAAATATTTAGCGGCGAATCAGCCGGCCGGTGAATATTAAAGCGGGGGGGGGGGGGGGTGCTGGAGAGGAGGACCACTAGTTTTTTCTTCTTGTTTTTCGAGGGGGGGGGGGGGGGGAGGTGAAGCGCCGTTTTAGCATGACTTTCTTTTTAACTCTCACTTTCACCTATCCCAGATAACCTAAGTTTTTTGTTGCTGCTTTATATGTAGTTGATAATGCATGATTAAAATAAATAGAGAGAGAGAGAGAGAGAGAGAACCACCATCATTATGCAATGGTTCAGGGTTTGTGTAATGTACATTTGAAACCATTTCTTAGCGTCTCAACCCTAAAAAAATAGCGAAACTATTTTTGAGGAAAAGCATTATACTGAACTGAATAAAGAATGATAATTTTATATTGGCTCATACTAAATCTGATACGGGCAATAAGACAATGTGGTATCGGCACAGTAAGATCGGGTATTTCCGTATTTGTATAGAGCTATTCCAAAATTACATTCTAATAATCAACATTTTGTTTTGTTATCATATGCAGGGTGTCGATTTGTATCCGTGGTTGGGGGGGATGATAGGTGCCAAAATATTTTCGGCAATGGATCAAAGCAACCAGGAGGTAGAAGCGTGTGGCAGGTTGCACCCCTCCCTTCCAAGTTATTAACGTTTTCAAGTCACCCTCAATAAAGATAACATTTTCAGAGAATATGGGACCCATGTGGGGCATACATGGGCTTGCTACCTGGGTTATTATCCTCTCAAGCATATAGGCAGGATTGTTTTTTTTTGGGGGGGGGCGGAAGTTAGCTCTGACGTTTCATTAAATTATTGAAGAAAGAAGACGATTCGTTGAACCATTCTCGACTCTTAATCCTTGTCTGAATTCAGTTTCCCACCCTTCCCGCGCGAAGCACGGAAGCTTTGACGTTTCATTAAATTATTAGAGAAACAAGACGATTCGTTGTACCGTTCTCGACTTTTAAGTTCCCCTTTCTCCGCGCGTAGCGCGGAAGCTCTGACGTTTTATTAAATTATTAAAGAAAGAAGACAATTCGTTGTACCATTCTCGACTCTTAATAAAAGTCTGAATTCAGTTTCCCCCTCCCGCGCGAAGCGCGGGAGCTATGACGTTTCATTTAAATTATTAAAGAAAGAAGACGATTCGTTGTACCATTCTCGACTCTTAATAAAAGTCTGAATTCAGTTTCCCAACCTTCCCGCGCGGAGCGCGGAAGCTTTGACGTTTCCTAAAATTATTAGAGAAACAAGACGATTCGTTGTACCGTTCTCGACTTTTAAACCTTGTTTGAATCAAGTTCCCCTTTCTCCGCGCGTAGCGCGGAAGCTCTGACGTTTCATTAAATTATTAAAGAAAGAAGACAATTCGTTGTACCATTCTCGACTCTTAATAAAAGTCTGAATTCAGTTTACCCTATCCCGCGCGAAGCGCGGAAGCTTTGACGTTTCATTTAAATTATTAAAGAAAGAAGACGATTCGTTGTACCGTTCTCGACTGTTAATCCTTCTTCTTCCTACCCCCTCTTCCTTTCTTCTTTCTCTCTTTCTTTTTTTTTGGGGGGGGGGGGGGGCACCGCCCCCGCCCCGCTGGCTACGCGCCCGTATCCTCTCTGTCTTTCATTATCTCTCTCTCTCCCACTCTCTACTTCTTTTTTTGCACAATTGCGCTTCGCACTATAGCTCGTTGCTTTTTAACATTGCGGCTTTGCATTTGGCGCATTGCATTTCTATGATGCTGTTGATTGAATAAATTGAATAAATCCATCAATTCCTGATGAAACCGTATGAGCGAGAATTCAATTTATTTCTTGTCTCATATACGGTTGTCTCATTTACTTCGTTTTCTATTTATATATGTATGTATTATGAAAATGAGATAGCAAAATGTGTATATTGATGGTCATCTTGCGAGTAATAACCATTACTCTCATTGGGCTCTAATCATTAATTTTTCTCTTCATTTTTTTTTGTGATGGTGAATTATTGGGGGGGGGGATGATTGTACAGGCCATCCCCCCACCTTCAGGTGGCCAAGGCCCCGGCAATAAAACTTAAGCAAAGCAAAGCTTCCGAATTCAGCAGTTTGTGGATTCATAAATTCAGTTTTGTTTTTCAATCTTCGCATAATTATATGCAAATTTTATTAAACAAAATGAGGCCATCCCCCCACCTTCAGGTGGCCAAGGCCCCGGTAATAAAACTTATTTAAAACGGGCATCTATCAGATGTGTCAGAAGTAGAATTACAAGAAAGGGAAGTGGCTCTTTAAAAAAAGGGGGGCATTTATCGCTTTTGCAAAATTTGTGCGTGAAATATTATTGCTCCATAAAGCATTTCTGCCACAAACTTTAGAAATATGTAAAACTAATAACGATATGCATGAGACTCATTTTGTTTAATAAAATTTGCATATAATTATGCGAAGATTGAAAAAAAAAACTGAATTTATGAATCCCCAAACTGCTGAATTCGTAAGCTTTGCTTTGCTTGACGATGCCTCCGTGTTTTAACTTCTCATAATTATTTGCTATTTTTCGCTCTTTTTTTTTGCTGAATTAGATTAAGTTTTATTGCTGGGGCTTTGGATGGTTTCTTTCTAGTTCTCTTTAACATATGTTTTACAAAAAAAGTGAGTGGGCTCGATCCCCCGGAAGCTCAGGGACTTTAGACATTTAATTACGGTCAGATGAGCATATTTAGATACCCTATTCGTAACACTGACAGGCAGGTCATTGAGTGGGGTCCAGGGGGCGAGCCCCCAGAAGCTGAGGGGTTTTAGACATTAAATTACGATCAGATGAGCATCCAGGGGCCGCCTTAGGGCCCTTGGTGGGGTCCAGGGGCAGAACCACTGGAAGCTTAGGCGTTTTAGGCAGTTAATTACGGTCAGATGAGCAACCAGGGGCCGCCTTAGAGCCCTTGTTGGGGTCTAGGGGGCAGAGCCCCCGAAGCTCAGCGAAAAATCATGCCATCTCAACAATTTTGTAAATCAATGGTATCGAATTAGAAATAAACCACGTTTGAATTATATTTGGGGGGAACTGCCCCCCAAAGCCCCCCCCCCCCAATCAGTATGCAAGTGCGAGGGAGCACATATGGAAACGTTTGCTTGCATATGTCTCATAAAAAAAGTTGCCCACAAACTGTCTCCCACACGGTGTTGAGTGATCAGGGGTCACGGGCCACTGGCTTTATCGGGCAGGTAGTTCCATTATGTGAATGGGTAAATTAACTATTACAAAATGAGGGGATACATTACATTGTACAATAGGGACACACTGTGTTTTTATTGTGCAGAAGATACTCTTTTATTGACTGACTTATTACATGAAACTATAAAACCAAAATGCATTTTGTATTTTCACAATTGGAGTACAAAGAATATTAAAGGTACTACGTCCCATTTGCAGGCCAAAAAAATGAAAAAGTTAAATTCCAACTGCATTTGAAAGATAATACTAATTTAGAACTTCCCTAAAAAAGGTGGGGCTTAAAAATATCTTCAAGTGGGAAAATAACGACTATTAGTTGTCAAAACGACTTTAGGGCTATAGAGCCCAAAAGTAATAGTCTTGATTTTCAGACAATTGTACCGAAAGGTCATACGTTTTATGCTGCGCAAAGATTCAATCAGTTTAATCTTGGCCGTCACAAGAAGTGGGTTATTGATGTAGACAAATGCTCATGTACCCTTTACAACTATTTTCATGTATGTTATTACCAAAGAAAAAAAAAAGCCAGTCAGTCACTCAATAGTGTCTGACAGTGAAGTCTAGCAAGTAAACGGGTTTCCTTGCATAATTTGAATATGAGGACACTGTTAACGTTTAAATTTCACAGATAGGACATACATGACATATTCATAATTCCTGCAAAGTTCTACAGAATTTGAGGTTGGCTGC